CCTTCACAGGTGACCTGAAAGTTAATAGTACTTTATTGCTATTTTCTACAATCTGTAGAGCAATATTAATATTTACAGCAATTTAACAAGAATTTGAATATCCACTATTTTCCTAGTTACTATACCTTTATACTAAAAGGTACTCAGTGTAAATCCTGAAATTTCCTACATTACATTAGAAATGGATTTACATGAGTCTGAACCAAAGCATTAATCATTTAACTTCATATTGTAATTAGACATTTGTCAGAAAAATGCTGTGAAACTGAATGCTTGAAGTAACAACTAGGCTCTTAAAAGTAAAAATTTTAAATTATAAAAAAAATACAAGTGAAGCAGTTGGCTTATTTTTCTGTCCTTTTTCAATGAACATCAGAGCAAATAATGTAAACAGTGTAACAATGCTAGCTCAATGTGTTGCTGAATGTTTCTATTATTGTTATTAATGCATAGTAATTTTTTTACTGTTAATAAAGGGAAGAATTAGTATTTAGTATTCCACAGTTCAGAAAAGGATCTAGGAGATAGATCTGTTATAATGGCCCCTTTTTCATTTGGAAAGTAATCAACCAGCAATATGACTCCTTGAAGGCAAAAAGGTAGTTCATAATATGGGAGATGGTAGCTAATTTAGTTATTCATCATTAATGAAGAAACACCATAGTTTTGGATAGAAAACCCTATCCTACTTGCAATGAGACATTAAGTATCATACTAGAAAATAGACCCAGTAAACTTACAAAGCAAAGTAAACTAGTGGCAAGCTTATGAAAGCCCAATGTTAGGAAACCATAATTGTTTGTGAAAATAGCCATAGAATAAAATGGAGGGGCTTCTTGTTTGCTACACAAAGTACAGGTGATCAGGCAAGTGTAATGATTGACCCAACACAAACCATGGGATCTAGAACATATTCCAAAAATCCCTTCACTCCTATGTTGTTTCTAAAGGAGACAATTTGTATTTATTGAGGCCAAATTGAAGATTCAGCAACAGCAGAATCTTTGTATAACAGATTTAAAAATTTCCATCATTAGTGTTCACTTCAGCAGCACATCAGTCATGCTATATATAAAATTGGAACGATACAGAGATTAGCATGGCCTCTGTGCAAGGATGACACGCAAATTCATGAAGTGTTCCATATTTTTTTTTAAAAAAATTTTTCCCATCATTATTCACCACCATCAATTTTTCAATTAGGAAGTTATACTATTTGTGTGAAATAATTGGCCCTTAACGCAGACACAAAGAAAAGCCTGATATAAAAATGTAAGAAGTACATTAGTCTTATTAGAGAGCCAAGTATCAATACTTGATAATTGCAGCCTTGAAACAAAGCCTATATTGTTTTTGGCAAGTAGAACTCTATAAAGAGCACTAAAGATTAAGATGCCAAGCTTGCCTATAAACAACAATTTAGTAAAGTTTTCATTTAAATAGAACCATTTTTTTTTTCTTGCTACAATTCCAAGACGGCATCACTTCAAAGGCAAATGGATAAACTGAGAGGCTGGAAACCTTTAGGTCCTCTTTCCTACAACATATTGCTCCCTTTCCTCTGCCTATTACTGTATCATAAGAGGGGTATGTCCCTCTAAAGAGGTAGCAGTGTTAAAAGACTGTATAATTTAGAGCATGTTTAATTTTTGTTTTATCAAAGTAAGAGCATTCTTCTCCTCACAACCTCTTGTATACTACCAATACTTTATTTCAACCCCCTCTTGAAGGTCACATACTGAAAGGTCAAAGTACAATTCAATAAAGAATAACCTTTTCCAAAGTGTTTTATTGCTACAAGTTGTGAGCATTCCAATCATCAAAAACTTGTTTTCAGCTTCTTATGGTGCAACACGCCATTTCCTAGGACTTTGTTTTGGCAGTGGATAAGGTGAAGTTTAGATCTAGAATGGTATCAAGAAACCCTGTCTATAACTTAAAGAAGTGGAGCATAAGCCAGAATAAGATTATCTTCCATCTGAAAGGTTAGTCTTTCTTGGAATTCTCTTGAGTAATTTCAAAATTTAAGGCTGGTAATTACTGAGACAAGTATATACGTATCTTGTAAGAAAATCTAATACTTATTACTTTTTACTAAACAGATGCTATACATGGCAACTAGAATACTGTGCAGAAGAGATTTCCCTGAATTTATGACAACCTACCTGAATCTAGACCACACTTCCTTGGTCTCTTCTAATCAATACAGCTTTCATTTCACAGCTCTAAAAGCAACACACCATGGAAGACAAACAGCAACACATCGTGAAAAACAAGGGCCCATACAAACCATTGGAAAGCTATTCACTAATGCTGGGTCTACTTTTAGTCATGCTATTAAGGATCAAACTTTATTCTTGTGCATAATAGATACAGAAAAAGTATGATGCAACTATCTAAAGTTGAGGAAACTAACCTACTCAGACTTTAATTTTTAAATGAGAAATGACAAGAGTAGTAAATATGAAGAAAAACAAAAAGAACTTTACTTTCCTATGTTAATACAGGTCAAGGGACCCTTTCTTCTCAAAAGGGTTGATAACACCAGTTCTTAGCAATAAACATAAGGCACTTGTTTAGATTATAACATCACTGCATTTTCTTTTCCACTTGTTTTTCTAACCATGTTCCCCCCACCCCCACACAGTATCATTTGGAATTAATAGAGTAAATGAGGCAAATGAGATGACCTCACTGATACTACTCAGGGCAATATAGTACAGTACAATGTTTTAGGGGTGATGTCTGGACATAAAATGGACCCTGTCAAGGTCCCCTAACACCAGACAATGTATCCACTATCAAGTAAACCTGAAAAAAAATATTTATTCAATAGTTCCAGTAAAACTGGGTTGGAATTACAATATATGTATTAGGAATTTAACTCCCCACCGGTGGTATCTGCATCGAGAGTTGAGTACTTATGAATATTCATCCTAAGACAATCTACATCATTTCAACATTGTCAAAACAAATATAATTCCATTTCAATATACAGTAGAGTTTAAACATAATTCACACACACCCCCTATCATATGGCTGGTGCCTCCTCGAATCACCTCATTAGTGGCAGAGGTAGCACTAGTGTTCTTTCCCAACAGTAAGAACTTCAGCTGCCACTCACAGTTGAAAAAAATGTTGGCGTTTCTTGCCATCTATTAAGATGTTCCTGAGATAGGGTCAGTTAATAAAACATAACAAAGCACTCGAATTCAGTTTGTACTTTTCTTTACATCACTGAATTATTAGACTTGGATGTGGAATGCAGGAATGTACTATGAAAGGTTGAATTTAGCACAACTGTCCCATCGGTGGAAGTATCAAGTCTTCTAAAAATTCCCTTTAGAATATACTTTTCATAATAGTGTGGAAAAAAGACCAATTACACATACAACTGATTCACTTAATCTAATTTGCTCAGATCTTGCAAATACAGTGAGAACCTTGGGTCGGAGGCTGGTTCTCAGTGTATAGATTTAACATATTAAGGCTCATTTCCTCAATCAAAATAACAGTTGTTTTCCTTTCAAATTATTTATTACAAATTGCATTCATAGTACCTGCGTCATCCAAGCCCTCAGTGAAACCTGCTGGAGCAGCCCTGCACCTGCACTGCGGAACTCCCTGACACCAGCACTAGACCATCTGCAGAGCTCCCGTCTGCACTAGCCTTTCAGTATACTATAGCGCCTCTGGCTTGCAACCTCTGTTTCCACCTGTATATTTTCACAGAAGCCCAACACAGATTAGTTGAAATATTCACACAACTGTTTTTCAAAACAATTTATTGCATCATATTTGGTACCTCATTTTGACAACAAAAAGGAAATTACATCTGTAACTGCAGGAAAAAGAAGCTGGTCTGTTATTGAAAAAAAAAAAATCTTGGGCCCTTTAAAAATTACAAAGTCTTGGGCTTGCCTGAAACAACTGAGCAAGAAATATATTCTTAGAAATGTAGGGCTTCAAGTATTACAAACCTGTGACACTGTGGAAAAATTCCAGAGGTATCTAAACTGCAGCACTTTTTTTCTGCATATCGTGAACAAGGCCTGCTGAGGTTTTTTAACTATTAGTCTCTTGATCAGTCATAGAATGGTAGTCAGGAGTTCTGCTCTTTAACTTCAAGCCATGGTAGATTTCTTTTTTTCACTCTGGGTGAAAAAATTCATGCTTGCTAATTAGTTGGTGCCATATCACAGTGCATTTGGTTCTTGCATTACAGTTTTAACAAGTTTGGCCAAAACAATGCTGAAAGGTTTGCATTGTTATTTTAGTTCTTCAAGTTTTAGTTAAAATTGATTGTTCCAACTGGTCTTCAGTTAAAAAAAACTGTGGTACAAGAACGCCAAACTGATCATGTACAGTGAATTTTGGAAACACAAGCATATTGAACACCCTCTAGGTTTCTTAGAATTCTGCTTGATATCTATATGTCCCAGCTTCTACAACATCAAGCATCTGTTGTAGGTTTCTCTGTAAATAGTGATTCACATTTGCATACTTCCTATAGCCAGAATCAACCCCATAACAAAACCAGTCAGATGCTAAAGCCCCAACAACTCTTTGTGCTCAGTGAAAGAATCCAGTGCTAAAACAGCATTTATGCTGTCTGAGATATAGTAAAATCTCACAAGACAAATTTAAAGTAATATTTCTGCCACACACCTGCTTTGTTAGCTGTAACGGCCTCCAGATTTTCTATAAATTAGTTTAAAAACATGGGTAGGTAGGTAGGAAGAAGATAGTTCTCTCTTTTTTTTTAACCCCTCAATTTTAGCAGCTTTTAATTTTTTAAGAAACTGAACCTATATCCTGTAATATGTTAGGTATTTTATATATACTTTCTCAGCAGGATAAAAAACTTAAAACACTATTTGAAGGCAAGAACATTTACTCTTCTCATTCTGCTTAAGTCAGAGCAATGCAGCAGGTGCGTGACAAAAATATTATATACTAGATATGGTCCAAAGTCATTCCATTTGCTTGTTTAATGATGTTCAAATTTCATTGGCCAGTTCTTCAGTTTCTGCAGAACTATCTCCATTAACTGTGATCTTCATATCCTCTTCATATCCAGGAGGCATAAAAGCCAAAGCATAAGGGAAAAGCTTATGACAATTTGCTCTATAAATTTCAGCAGCTTCTTTACAGTCTCCTAGGCTACCATCACACAAGGCTTCTAATACCTCCATACAGGTCTAAAGAAAGAAAAAAGATCATGTTATAACTTTTCCAAAGAAAACTTTTTACTGAATCTGAAATTTTTTATTAACGACATCTAAATAAGAGGCCATATTTTTAAAAAATAAGAGCATTTCCCCCTATATATGTGTGTGTGTGTGTGTGTGTGTGTGTGTGTGTGTGTGTGTGTATATATATATATATATATATATATATATATATATATCATTAGATTTAGTTTCTTAAGAATTGCAGGGTTTATATAAAGGAAGAATGTTTAAGTAGGGCCAGGACTAAGGTTGGGCAAGCAAGGTGTATAGAGTGCTACATTTAAAGAGACACTCACTTTCAACAAATGCTAAATCCTAAGCAACAACCTTGACTCGGCCTAGTATGGCCCTGTATATGTCAAAATTCACTTGCAAAGATCAATTAATACACTTAAGCCTTTTAATATTTTTGGAGGCTAAGAGCCAGTTGGCAAAATCAAACACTGCTTTTCAACCCGTATTCAAACTAAAAAGAACCTTAAGATGTGTCCAATAACTAAGCAGGAAAGAGCATCTCAATCACAAAGGGCATATATATGCAAAAACAAAATGTGTTTATGAAAAGTGATAATTCTTCCAACCAAACCCCTAAGTACATCTGCTTCTTCTATTTCTAAATGATATGTGTTGACTTGCGGTTCTCATGTTTTCTTTCATCTTCCCACTTGGAAAACACTATGTAGTTTCCAGATATATAATATCCTATAAGCCTTGCCAGTCTAGAAATGCTCTAATCTAAATGCTGCATTAATTATGCAAGCAAGGAGTATATTTTTAATTTTCCCCTTAAAGATATTAAAGGAAAATATTTAACTCTTTCAACAAGTGCTTTCTTAAAATACTGGTTGCACATCACACAAAGTAGCTGTCCTTTGCTTTTAAACAATCTGTATTTTGCAGCATACCCATATTCTTTCACTCTACTTTACCCCATGTTATATTATAAGCTATAAAAGGAGCATATAAATTCAACCCGTGGTAAATACATTTTAAACATGTCAAAATCTTCATTGAGACCACTGCTTGCTCAGAAATGTGAGATCTGAAACCCAAAATTAACTCTGAAATATATATATTTTACTAAAACATTTTTCTAAAAAAAACTGTAACATGTGAAACTAGTTATTAAATGACAAGTACTAAACTATGTATGTGTGCACAAACACAAAATACTAAATAAATTTAAGATAAGGTAACTTTCTGACATGGATTCATAACAGTCTGAATGCATAAATAACAAAAATATTATTTGTGACAACGGTTTTCTTGATGAAAAGAGGAATAAAAAGTAGGCAGGTACTCATACAGAGAGGTCATAAAAAAAACTCTTTACCTGGAGGTTTCTGTTAGTGAGGGATTCATCAAGTGTTGTTGCCAACTCTATAGCTCGCTTTTGACTAGAAGAATCTAAATAATATACCATTTTGGCAGCTAAATGAGAAGAAAAACAAAAATTTGTTTTATTTTAAAGTAAAACCAGCATCTTATCCTCCATGCATTCAAATATAAAATGCAAGGCATATGTGCACAAAGTGTGGCATTTTATTAGAAAATAAGAAATAGCAATTTAAAACATGTCATTTTTTTTTTTAAATTCTGAGGGTAGACCAGAAAGAGCCTAACTAGAAGGTGAAGGCCTAGGGAGAGACAAGGGCAAGATGTAGGGAGGCAAAGGGAGAGGGAAATGAGGGACATCTGTAATAGTCAACAATAAAAAATTAAAAAAAAAAATGTTTTTAGGTTAAGAGAGACTATGAAGAAATGTAAATATTCTAAAAACATTTGTCTTTGTGTGGCAAGGCCCTGTATAGTTTGCTTTCAAAATGAACATAATTTGGGGTTTAAGAGAACACCTAATCTTGACAATATGAGCCAAAACTCGGAAATGAGAAGTCCACAAAAGCATACAAAGCTGCTGGGTTTCTTAGCCAGATTTTTTTATTTTTGTTAATACTCACCCAAGGATATTTTTCCATTTTTAGGGAGAGTGGAAAAGAGAAACATCAATGTGAGAGAAACACATCAATTGGAGGCCTCCAACAAGAGCCCCGACAAGGGCCTGGGCCGGGTACCTGCCCTTGACTGGAATAGAACCTGGTACCCTTTGGTCCACAGGCCGATGCTCTATCCACTGAGCCAAACTGGCTAGGGCTTTAGCCTGGTATTTTTAAAGCACCTTACTAAATCACCAGCCACACGATCCCATCTTATCCAGAATTTAGCTGGCTAGCATAGATTCGTCAGATGACCATTGCTTGTGGGATGGTTTCAGGTGTTTAGAACTGTCAAGTTTGCTATCTTACAAACACATGAGAAATGGAGGATGATGGTCACATTCAAGTGAATTTTAAGAGTACTATGATGGGAGAAAGAAGTAAAAAGTTTCTCCTTTTTACTTCTTTCTCCAAGATGGCGGCATGGGTAATCGCCTAACTGCAGCCTCACACAACAATTTCAAAAAATACAACCAAAATATAAAGTGGACATTATCCAGAACTACAGAAAAGTTTACTAACTGGAAATTCTACAACGAGAAGGAAAGACAAAACCAGAAGGAAAATCAGAGGAGCTGTAAAAGCCTAAGGTATGGAGACATGTTGCGCGTGGAGAGGATGGAGCTGGAGAGGAGGGGCTCAGTGCCTGGCTGGCGTATTCTAGTGGGAAGGAGATAAAAGCTCCAGACGCTGGTGAACCCCAGTTCCGACTGCACTGAACCCCAGTTCTGGGTGAGACCCTTGGGCCCCAGGCTCATACAGAAGGAATCTGGGCTGTAAGGCGGAAGCTCAAGGGAGCGGCAAAAGGCAGAGCCCCAGAATCCCGCACATTTAGCGAAGAGGACAGACTGCTGATTGAGCTGCTGGATTGCCCTAGCGGGAAGGAGACATAAGCTCCGGACTGCTCTCATCCCCACTTCCAACTGCACTGAACCCCAGTTGCGGGCTCGTTAAGAGACTAGACTGACTGGTAGCGGGCGAAACTCTAGGGCACCTTTCTCTCAGAGGGGCTTGCAGCAAGTACCAAAGGACAGTGAGGAACACTGAGACTCAGGAACCTCATAGGGTGGGGCTAACCGGAAGCCAAGGCTGTAGGCTCCACCCTGAAACTCTGCCCCATTCAAGTTGACCACAGAGGCTCTTGCAGTTTTCCAAGTCTAGTCGAATAAGGCTGTCTCCTGGCATAGGCACAGCTGATCCTCCCACCCTACCAACTCAGGGAAGCAGTGAAAATGCCGAGACAAGGACACAGATCACAAACGAAAGAAATGGAGGACAAAAAGCGACTGGATTTAGAGTTCAAAACCACGCTTATAAGGTTTTTCAAGAATCTCCTAGATAAGGCCGATAAAATAAACAAGACCTATGAATATATGAAAAGGGATCAACTAGAAATAAAGGATCAACTAGAAATAAAAAATACATTCTCTGAAATAAAAAATATTATACAGAGTCCTAAAAACAGAATGGAAGATCGCAAGAATCAAGTCAAAGATTTGGAACACAGAGAGCCAGAGGACACTCCTCTGCAGAAGTCAGAAGACAAGAGAATCCAGAAAGTTGAAGATAGTGTAAGAAACCTCTGGGACAACTTCAAGCGAACCAACATCAGAATTATGGGTGTCCCAGAAGATGACAGAGAGCAAGATACCGAAAACATACTGAAAGAAATAGTGACAGAAAACTTCCCCCACCTGGTGAAAGAAATAGACTCACAAGTCCAGGAAGCGCACAGAACCCCAAACAAAAGGAATCCAAAGAGGATCACACCAAGACACATCATAATTAAAATTCCAAGAGCAAAAGACAAAGAGAGAATATTAAAAGCAGCAAGAGCAAAGTAGGTAGTTACCTATAAAGGAGCACCCATACGATTGTCAGCTGATTTCTCAACAGAAATCATGCAGGCCAGATGGGAATGGCAAGAAATATTCAAGGTGATGAATAACAAGAACCTTAAAGGAGTTCATTACTGCCAAACCAGAATTATATGAATTGCTGAAGGGGGTTCTTTAGGAAGAGGAAGAAAATATAGATAAAAATTATGAACAACAAATATGTAACTATCAACAAGTGAATCTAAAAACCAAGGGAATTAAAAACCTGATGAACAATATTAACTGTTGAATATAATAGAATTAGAGATACGGAAGGGGAGTGGACTGACAATTCTCGGGGGAAAGAGGAGTGGGGGGTGTGGGAAGAGACTGAACATAAACTGTGCACCTATGGATGAGGACAGTGGGGGTGGGGAAAGGGCAGAGGGTGCGGTGGGAACCTGGTGGAGGGGAAAAAGTGAGGAACTTTTGTAATAATATGAACAATAAAGATTTATTAAAAAAAAAAAAGTTTCTCCTTCATTGTATGTAATGTATAGCTAAATTCAGTTATACTTGCTTTTCTATAATGCCTATGCTGAACCAGGAGAAACTACTGACCTTGATTCATAGTCATCATTTTGTCTAGGAAATTTTAAATTATATAGGAAGCGTATATAAGTTGCCTGATTTCATGGATTAAAATGTGACGTATACACATTGCCTCTTCCACATAAAAAATGTCTAATGCCATTGATCCATTAAAATAAAAAATGAAGTTGTCTTACACAGCCATGGTAAGGGCAAAATAAAGTGATTACCTGATAATCTGTGTGGCAATGAATCAGAATTCCTTTTCAGAAAAGTCTCATTAAAATTCTTTGGATTCGTTGCTCCAAAAAGACGATTCATTTCTTGTTTTAATACTGTTCTAACTGCATCAGGTAAATCTTTACTGTCACACACTGCTGAACAAATTAAAAACAAACTATTAGCAAGTAGAAAGTCTGATAAAGTTTGTAGGAGTTAAGAAAAATCTAAAGACAATTCAACATTTAAAGAGCTTACCTATATAAATTTAAAGAATTTCAAATTTATATGTGTCATCACTCAAAGACATTTCACTGACAAATGATTCATTCCCAGAAAAGAACAGAAAGCAAAATAGATGATAAAAGATGTAATTGCACTCCTACATGCTGCCCCATTAATTTTACAGGGAGTCTGCAAAGCAGAGGCTTGACAGCACCTACCTAGTAAATAATGTCACAGCAAATAGCGGTGGTGAAAACAACAGTATTTTCCTCACCATCTCCACCTTATTCTACAAATAAGTAAGGCATTTACAAACTTATCGGTGTTATAAGAAAACATGATTGATTTCATTAACCTTTATTTTCAGGGGCTATGTGAATTGAACTATTACTATAGAATAAAATCCAAAGAACCACCAAAGTATTTTCCTGTAATGAATACATGCAGCCATCTCATTCCCAGGTCTTGGGATTTGGAGAAAGAAAAGCTGACCCCCCTGGGCTCTCTGGATTGCATCCTAGTTATGCTTTGTTTCCTTGCTGGCATAATTCAGCAATAACTCAAGTTTGGTTCCAGACCATCACAATAAAGTGAATATCACAATAAAGTGAATATCACAATAAAGCAAGTCACAAATTTTTTGGTTTTCCAGTACATATAAAAGTTATGTTTATATTATACTATAGGTATTAAGGTGCAAAAGCACTTTTTTTTTTAAGTAATTCTTAATTTTAAAAGTATTATATTGCTGAGAAATGCTAACCATTATCTGAGCCTGTTGCAAAAAAGGCACTGATATATTTGCTCAACTTTTAACTTTTAATAAAATGCAGTATATAATGCCTAGCTGGGTGTGGCTCGGTAGTTGAGAGTTGACCTATGAACCAGGTGGTCACGGTTGGATTCCTGGTCAGTGCATATGCCTGGGTTGCAGGCTCAATCCCCGGTGTGGGGCATGCAGGAGGCAGGCAATCAATGATTCTCTCTCATCATTGATGTTTCTCTCCCTCCCCCCCATCCTGTCCTCTCTAAAAAAAAAAAAACAAACAACAAAAACCCAACCCAGTATTTGCAAAGGTTAATAAAGCAAAGCACAATAAAACAAGGTACACCTGTACTTTTTTGTACAAAGACAATCTGGATCTTTGAGCCAGACAGACTTAGGTATGAACCTAGGTTTAGACAAATCATAACCTCTTTGAACCTATTTCTGTTTTGTCTTGTTAATCCTCACCAGGATATTTTCTCCATTGATTTTTAAGAGTGGAAGGGAGGTGGGGAGAAAGGGGAAGAGAGAGAACAAGACATCCATTGTTTGCCTCCTGTAGGCACCCTGCACAGGGATGGGTATCACACCTGCAACACAGATAGGATTGAACTTGCGACTCTCCAGTCCTTGAACCAACATTCTAAACGCTGAGATACACTGACCAGGGTCCTGAATCTATTAGTCTATAAAATTAAAGTGATATCCAACCTAGAATGATCATAGGAAGGAAAGGCTAAATTTAAAAGAGCTAATTATACGCTATTCAATAAGTTGTAGATACTATTTTTGTCGTAGAAGAAAAACATAAATAGATTTTTCTTTGGTTATGAAAACTATGGTGGTGGCTTTCAAACTTTGCCCATAACCAAGTATTTGTACTCCAATGAGTATATATCCTATATACACAAATTATATGAAGCTAAAGTTTCACAGAATATAATCACTTACTTTGTGCAACACAGACTGATATTTTCTCCTTTATTTTTTATTGTAGGTTTTTAAATGCTAGTAATGAACCCTACATACTTTCACTATCTCAAAAATGGGCCACTACCCTAAAATACACTGAACTCTTGAGTAGTAAATATTTAAGTAAAATATTCTACACGTAATAAGTTAGTGAATAATTGATTGATGTGCCCTTTGTTGGTTAAACAGCATTTCTCCTATCATTCTATAGAACTGGGTGGTTCAAATATAGGAGCTACTAGTTAAAGAATTTAGCTTTACTGCTATTATGGCTGTACTTTCAACTTGATTTAAAGGGATGTAACAAAGTTGCCCCAATTCTGTGTCTCTCTGTTTAAGTACACACCTGTTCTTATCAAAGCTATTAAGCAGTCTACCCCAACTTCCTGAAGGCTTTCTGAAGAAAGTGCATCTTTATTAATACAAATTATCACTACTTTCTGTATTAAAATTTAGTCAAAATAAGGATCTCTTTGTAAACCTCAGTGTCAGCTGAACACCTAAAATGGCAATAGCTAACATACATTTTAATTTTCTGAAATAAAATGTTGCAAGAAAACAGTCACAATCCACATACTCATTAAAAGCAAAAACACTTAGAAATGCCACTTTTAATTCATATTTAAAGGAACATCTCTAACTCTATGGCACTTATGTATAATTTTACTGCCTTTTAGGAAAGGACTGATTATGTAAAAAACAAAAGTGTGATCCTGGTGGGTATTGCTCAGTGGTTGGAGCATCGGCCCCTGCACCAAAGAGTCTTGGGTTTGATTCCTGGTCAAGTACTGTAGTTAAAGGCTCCATCTCCCACCCTGGTTGGAGCAAGTGCAGGAGGCAACTAGTCGATGTGTCTCTCACATCATGTTTCTCTCCCACACCCCAATCTCTCAAAAAATCAATGGGAAAAATTATCCTTGGGTGAGGATTAACAAACAAACAATAAAGTGTGTATGCATGTTACTTTTGAAAATAGGTTAAGTGGCCGAAACTGGTTTGGCTCAATGGATAGAGCATCAGCTTGGGGACTGAAGGGACCCGGGTTCGATTCCGGTCAAGGGCATGTACCTTGGTTGCGGGCATATCCCCAGTGGGGGATGTGCAAGAGGCAGCTGATCGATGACTCTCTCTCATCGATGTTTCTGGCTCTCTGTCTCTCTCCCTTCCTCTCTGAACAAAATCAATAAAATATATTAAAAAAAAAAAAAAGAGAGAGAGAAAGAAAGAAAATAGGTTAAGTGCATTCCATCCTAATCAAGAATGGATTGGTTATCTCTAGACTAAATTTTCTGATTAATTATTTCAAAGTTTTTTAATACAAAAAAAAGACCCAAATGAAACTTCTTTATTTTTTCTAAAAACAGCAATTCCTTCTTCTATTTTATATAATGTGGTATACTGTTTACTACTTTTTGAATTTAAAAAAGATTAAAATTTTTTTTCCATGATTCCATTTCTATCACAGGAATCATTTCTTTGACAAGCATAAATACCTATTCCATATATATATATATATATATATATATATATATGCCTAAGTGACCAAACAACCGCCCAACCATTTGACTGGTAGCTATGATGCACACTGACCACCACGAGGCAGACACTCAACACACACCCATGGAAACATGGAACTGACCAATGAATCTCAGAGGGAAAGAGGCAGGGAGGAGGGCGGGAAGAGATTAACCAAAGATCTAAAGATCTCATATGCCTACTGGAGGTCTGGTGCACGGATTTGGGACAAAACCGGCATCTGACATCCCTTGAGGGGTCCCAGATTGTGAGAGGGCACAGGCCAGGACAAGGGACCCCACTGGTACACAAATCCATGCACTAAGCCTCTAGTAATTTAAATAAGGCTTTACCTTTTCTCTGAAGACAAAACAATGTTCTTAATTGGGACAATTTAGCAATTTTCAAAACCGATTAAAATGCCTGGTTTAATATGAGCCTGAGTATTTAAGCAATGAGATAACTAATAGTATTTCTAAATTCTGTAGGTTGTTCTAGTAAAAATTCCATTTCACCTTCTCTAATCACTGAAAAACCAAAACAGCACTACTTGACTATAGGAGTGCTTTATCTATACGTAAAGCTCTTGTAATAGATAGAACAATATGAAGACCTAGGCTCTCATCCCTGCCTCATTACTGATTATCTGTTAGCTTGAATAAGTAATTTAGTATCTTTAGGGTTCCCAAATTTCTCAAATGTAAAATGAAATAATTAGAATAAAATTCCACCTTTCATTCTCTAAAATTCTGTAGTTTTACTACTCATTAAAACTAATTTTGGAATCTTAACAAAATATTTGAAAAGTATGACGATTGTTTTAAAGTTCTTTTTAACCTATACATATTTAGTAACAAAAAATTATGTGACTTAACTGTGCTAAAGCAGGAACATAAAGAGATAACCAGTCCATTTCAAAGAAATTCTTAAATTTCAGAACAATTTACTAAGAAGCTTATATAATAACATATGATTAAAAACTTCAACTTACATGTAACCTTTTATAAACAGAAACAAAGGTAATTCAGAAATACCTGAACTGAACAATTCTGTCAAAATTAGGTAACATTTTTTTAGCGTTAAGAAATAAAGACCTTCAACACAAAGACAAGGACCTTGCTTTGGCCTCAGCTAATTTAACATGCATCAGTTTTAAAATGATTAAGATGGTAAATTTATACAGATCATTTACACAGTCACAAATATTTCAGAAATGGTAAACAAAAACATACCAGTACTAAAGAGTCGAATCATACACTCATGAAGCCAGGGATGACTAGAATCAATAGCAAATGCCCTTTTTACTGATTGTAGCATCAAAAGAAACTTTTCTATAAAAAGAAAAAGTGAGAAAATAGTTTTATCATTTGCTAAAATAAGATGTCTTCTTTTGGAGATCTAAGATCTTACAAATAGAAAAACTAATTTACAGTCAATCACATCTGATCTACTAAACATACAACTGAAGCCAATGATTTCCTCAGATTAGCAACATTAACTACTATTTTCCATACAACATTCTTTAAGAAAAAAAGGTTTTAAGAAGTACAAAAAGTTTAGATAGCAATCAACAATATTTGAACTAATGCCATATAAACAAGTCCATTTCAAAGAGATTCTTCAATTTCAGAACAATTTACTAAGAAGCTTATATAATATGATTTAAAACTTCAACAGAAACAGATCTGAAGCCATTTCATTTCCTAACGTCCTTAAATCAAAATAAAGGGATTTTCCTCACTACATAAAAAAATCATTGAGCCTAGCTGGTCTGGCTCAGTGGATAGAAGGTCAGCCTGTAGACTGAAGGATCCCATGTTTAATTTCAGTCAAGGGCACGTGCCCCGGTTACGGGCTCTATCTCTAATAGTACAGGAGACAGCCAACTGATAATTCTCTTTCATCATTGATGCTTCTATCTCTCTCCCTCTCCCTTCCTTTCTGAAATTAAAAAAAAAAAAAAAAAAATTTAAATCATTGTTGCCGAAACTGGTTTGGCTCAGTGGATAGAGCGTCGACCGGCAGACTGAAGGGTCCCAGGTTCGATTCCAGTCAATGGTATGTACCTTAGTTGCAGGCACATCCCCAGTGGGGGGGGTGCAGGAGGCAGCTGATTGATGATTCTCTCATCGACGTTTCTAACTCTCTATCCCTCTCTCTTCCTATCTGTAAAAAATGAGTAAAATATATATTTTTTTAAAATAAATTTTAAAAAATCATTGTTTATATGCTTAAAACCATTTCCTTTCTTGTGTTTCCTCACATGTGTAATGGTTTGCTTCCTACCTGATTGTTCTCTCCTGTCAATCCCTGGCTCTTCCTTCCCCTGAAAGGTAGTTTTCAGTGATGTTCTAATCTCTGTCTATGCTGTTCCCCACTCATCCCCCACCCCCATGTTCCCATGCTTCAGCAGTGCTTCAATCTGTTGAATGGAAATCCACAGAAGAATACTCACTACACTTCTATCATCTATGAATACCTCTTTGTTAAGACTTCCCTAATTTGGTACCATTCTCCAAATATCAAAATTCAAAACCCCAGGTTTCTCTGACATTTTCTTTTCCCTTACCCTCACCACCCAGAAAGCTAAAAGCACTGCCATGCCCTTTGTCACAGCCCATTTCACTTTCCTGCAGGGGACTGTCAATGCTGAGAGCCCTTCAGAGGTTAAAGCATAGCCAAGAAGCCAAGTGAATGGAATTTAGATTGCCATTCCCCACTCTATTGCAGACAACTGTTGCATTTTATACTTTGGGACTGATTTAAGAGTGTTGGTTTAAAGGGAGTTGCAGTAACTTTTAAAAATTACTGGACTATTAAACTTAGTTTCCAAATTATAACATAATCATTGTGGAAAATAGAAAATATAGTAGAACATACTTTAGTCATTCAAATTCCACCTTGAGATAATCTCTGTTATCTTTTATCAATTTCTTCTTGGTCATTTTTCTATTGTACATACCCCTGTATCTTCCTATATAATAAAAGCCTAATATGCTAACTGTCCGGTCATCTAGTTGGCTGTTCATCCAATCAAGGCGTAATATGCTAATGATAAGCTAAGCCACTCCACAACTTGTTATGATGTGCACTGACCATTAGGGGGGAGACAGTAAACTGATCAACCAGTCACTATGGTGTGCACTGACCAGCAGGGGAGTGAAATGTTGGTAGATGCTCCAACCAGTAGGTTAGCTTGCTGCTGGGGTCCGGCTGACTGGGATTGAGCAAGATGGGCTGGACACGCCATGGGGCCCTCCCAGTCTCTCTCCGGCTGACCAACCTCCCACATCCCTCCCCAGCCCTAATCGTGTACTAGTAGGATCCCTCGACTGGGCCTGCACCCTCTCGCAATCTGGGACCCCTCGGGGGTATCAAAGAGCAAGATTCGGCCTGACAGCAAATGACCAGTCAATATAACAGACACTGACCACCAGGGGGCAGTCACTCAATGTAGGAGCTGCCCCATGGGGGTCAGTGTACTCCCACAGGGAGCGCCACGCAGCCAGAAGCTAGGCTTATGGCTGGCCAGCGCGGCAGTGGTGGTGGGAGCCTCTCCTGCATCCGTAGCAGTGCTAATGATGTCCAACTGATGACTCCTGGACTATGAGAGGGTGCAGGCTGGCTGAGGGACCCCCCCCCACCACCACCAGTGCACAAATTTCATGCACCGGGCTTCTAGTATTAAAATGAAAATCAAGTTATAGTTAGTTTTGTGTCCTATTTTCAAACAATGGTATATGGCAAGCTTTCCCTAACATTATAAATTACTTTTGGTAAACATGATTTTTAATGGATACTCTATAGAGGTGTCATTTTATTCAATCTTTTTTAGAAGGACAGTTAAATTGTTTGGAAACAATCTTCTATTGGATCTTACTAATTAGTTTCTCTCCTTTCAAAATGTATCACCTTAACACACTAAGAGCCCTGTCAGTCATTGGTGACTGACACTATACTTTCTATCCTGAAGATAAAACAGACTGGACATTTAATGTATTAGTGATAAAATTTTCTTTTTCAATAAACCACTGGGATTACACCAATTCAACACCATAAAATCTTCTTATCTAATATCTTCTATATAATAAAAGCCTAAGGGACCATTATGGTGGAACAACCGAAACAACTGGTCACTATGATGCACACTGACCACCTGGGGGCAGATGCTCAACATAGGAGCTGCCTCCTGGTGGTCAGTGCGCTCCCACAGGGGGAGCGCCGCTCAGCCAGAAGCCAGGCTCACAGCTGGTGAGGGCAGCAGCGGTGGCAGGAGCCTCTCCCACCTCCACCGCAATGCTATGGAGCAGCAAGTCAAGTGGTAAGAAGCAGTAAGCAAACAGGCAGTAAGGAGTGAGAGGGCCCAGACTGCAAAAGGGATGTCCACCTGCTGGATTGGGCCTCCGTCTTGAATTTCATGCATTGAGCTTCTAGTATATAGTATAAGTATTCTAAACTTGGCAACCAAGAACTCTCATTTATATTTTACCTAGCTCAGGCAATATAGCCAACCTCAACATTACCTTATTTACACAAACTTGTTTTTTCTTAACAAAGCCTCTTCCCTTCTACACATCTTTTCTTTTAGAAATAGGAGCCATCCTTCAAGATACACCTCAAGCATCAGATCTTCCATTTTTAACAATAGCTAACATTTACTAATGCTTACTATGTACCAAATACCATTCTAAGCTCTACATATATTAAATAATTTTTATCCACAGACGCACATAAGAGCTACTATATCTGATCGTAATCCTAGCTATGCATGTACATTTATTATTGATTTTAATGTCCCAGAAGAAATAATCATATCCTTGTACCTCCCCACAACATATTGTGTATAGCAGGCAAGCTGAACTGGCACTTGCCAAACAGTTGTGAGGCTATTGGAGTTCAGAGACTATATCTAAGAAATAGTGATCAATGTTATCAGGGCCACTATATCATAATTGCCTACCTTTCCTAAAGTAAATCTCAAAAGCAAAAAGATGAGTTTCTATCTTGTTCTTCACCAAGTTCTTCAATGGTGTTAAAAATTTAATAGCTTCTTCCAATGGAGTTTCAACCTATCAAAAATAAAAGAGATTATACAAATGGAAACAAGATTTGGTTGTGGGGGGGAGGGGGGAGAGAAGGGAGGGATGATATTACTCTGTCTATTAAAAACACTTTAAAAAAACAATAGCTCGCCGAAACCGGTTTGGCTCAGTGGTGGAGCGTCGGTCTGCGGAATGAGAGGTCCCAGGTTCGATTCCGGTCAGGGGCATGTACGTTGGTTGCGAGCACATCCCCGGTAGGGGGTGTGCAAGAGGCAGTTGGTCGATGTTTCTCTCTCATCGACATTTCTAGCTCTCTATCTCTCTCCCTTCCTCTCTGTAAAAGAATCAATAAAATATATTAAAAAAATAATAATAAAAACTAATAAGTAAATAAATAAATAAATAAACAATAGCTCGTCCTAACTGGTTTGGCTCAGTGGATAGAGCGTCAGCCTGCAGACTGAAGGATCCCAGGTTCAATTCTGGTCAAGGGCATGTACCTTGATTGCAGGCACATCCCTAGTGGGGGGTGTCCAGGAGGTATCTGATCAATGTTTTTTTCTAATCGATGTTTCTAACTATCTCTCTCCCTTCTTCTCTGTAAAAAATCAATAAAATATATTTTAAAAATATAGCTCACCCAATAATAACTGTCATATTAAAATTCCCATAATCTAAAGAAGGGAGATTTTTGAACTCTAAAATGAATTTTAACCATAGAGATTATATTACCTCTGGATAGAAACTATCCAATAAGTAAAGAAGAAAATACAATATAACCAAAGAAAGACAGTAAGAGAAACCATTAAGGTAACCATTAAGGAAAAAAAGAAGAGATATGTGAAATAGGATAAAGGGATAAGAAAAACACTGTAGAGATTATTACAGAATGAAGTGTTATCTATGGGTGTTGCCTTGTACCAGCATGTAAAGCTGTTGGCATTGTTCTGAAGGATACATCCTCTAAACCAGAAATCAATACATGGTACTACCATTCTAATAGCTACAGATACTAAGAAATGAAAGAGGAAATAGGGGTCCTCATAAGTATACCTTTCTCACACATTTGTAAATATTTTATTTCTTATTCCCATGATTCTAAGTTCTACTGAGTTGGAATTTGTGGTATACAGTGGAGAAACATCTACCAAGGAAAGGAAAAGAACTGAAAATGGAAATTGCCATGGGTCTACATCAAGTTTTTCATGACTCTAAGATTATAAACTGAAATGAAGATCACTTAGACATGGCTGCTATTAAAACACAGAAATCTCTCTCTCTCTCTCTCTCTCTCATCAATGAGAAACTTATCCTCAGGCATGGATAAGAAAAGGAGGGAGGGGGGGAGGGAGGGAGAGAGAGAGAGAGAGGAAGGGAGGGAGGGAGGAAAGAGGGAGGGAGGGAGGGAGGGAGGGGGAGGAGGGAGGGGGGGAGGGAAGAAAGGAAGGGAGGAAGGGAAGAAGGAAGGAAGAAAACAAGGAATATAGGGAAGGTGAATAAATATAAGCATTATACTAAACGAAACCACTTTAGACTCAATTGGGGCCCCTATGTTTACTGAGTGGAATAATGGCTGGAATGGCCAGCATTATTCATACTCATTTTTGCCTCAAAAAAAAAAATTTACACCCAGTCATGAAGATATGAATTTACTTAAATGTAGAACATAACTGTATTGATGGGCAATGTAAGACATTTATTTTAAGGAAAGTTTTGATTATATTAATTTACAAACTAACCTGAAATCTAATCTGTGTTAAGATACCAAGATATGTTGTGCAGGAATATATCTCCCTACATTCTCAGCATAACAACAAAAAGTTTAAAAACTATTAAAACTCTATACAGACAGAATACTAAGGACTCATTACCCCTGCATGATAAGGAATGTATGTGTGGACACAATAGGAAGAAAAATCCAGCTGAGATGAATCCTGGCTGAAGACAAGGAGAAACATGGGAGGGGCAGTGCATGAGGGAACTTATAAATACCAACGACTCCCTGTCATAGTTTGGAGAAACAAGAAACACAGTGTCCACCAAGACTTTAGATCTTATATGCCACTAATTGAGTATGAAACTCACTAACTAAACCTCTTCCTATTTTCCTTAACAGGAATTACTAACCTAGTAATGCTTTTAAAATACATACATATATATATATATATTTTCCTATTCCTCAACTGGAGACACTAAACTTACCATTTATCACAAGAATCCTGAAATAAAGGATCACAAAAAAAGCAAATAGAGATCATAGGCCCAGATATGCCCGGAGCTTTTAAAGTGGCCTACAATGCCAGCTCTGGTTGTGACAGCTTGATGTAATTTGGCACTGCCACCACATTGAGGATACAGATAAATGTGGTTGGTATTAGATTGGGGGGGAGGGGGCATCTTGAAGACAGTTATTATAGGGAGAGTGATATGTGCCTAACAGGTAAGAATAGTATATATTGAAGACTGGTCTATGAAACTGGGTCCATTCCACTAGGCTTCTTCCAAATGAAGCACATTCTGTAGGCATTATTTTGTTCTGAGAGTCTACAAGATTAGATTACAACTTGACATCTAGTCCAAAACTAGCCATAACAGGCTTAACACAAGGAAAACCATATAGAGGCCTGGTACAGAATTCTGCTTTGCAGGGGTACTCAATCCAAATAGATCCTCTCCTTTAAGACCTATAATGCAAGATGTGAAGAGTTACAAAGAAAAAAAGTCATTAAGGAAAGTCATGGGGTAGAGAGAAAGCAAGTAGAAAGAATAATGGTGGCAGGCAGTCAGTTATGGTAGTAAAGTAGTGGTAATAGAGCCGAGGATAAAAGTGGAAGTTAATATTATCCCTGAATAATTTTGCAGCTCTCCATGAGACCTAAAAGGTCACTTTTCTTTCTTTTTCTTTTTTTTTTTAAATCCTCACTGGGAGAGTGTGGATATAAAGAGTGGAAAGGAGAAGGGAGAGGATGGGAGGGAGGGGGGGGGGGAGAAGGGGGGGAGGGGGAGAGAGAGAGAGAGAGAGAGAGAGAGAGAGAGAGAGAGAGAGAGAGAGAGAGAGAGATATCTTTGTGACAGAGACACATCTAATGGTTGGTTGCCTCTCACACGCACCCCAACAGAGGCAACACAGGTACAAGCCCATGACTGGAATTGAACTCGCGACCTCTAGTGAGCAAGTCAATGCTCTAACCACTAAGCAGAGCCGGCAAAAGCCTAAAGGCTTTTGTGTTTACTTACTTCCCAGTATACCTTCAAATAAATTCCCCAAACAATAAAAAAGTAACATTTATTTCCTAGAATACATACAATTATTCGTGAAAGGGTGTTAATATATATTTATGAAATCCAAGCTAGATTTCTATATAGGACTTAAATAGCAATAATGCTATATTACCGTCCATCTTCTCTGGTATAATTCTAAAACTATTTTCTAATTCTATTTGTTAGGTATTATAATTTTCCTTAATTTTGAAGCATTCAACAATTTTTGAATTTTTACTTATTACTAGTAAGGCTAAAATTGAACCCTAGGGCAATGTCCTCATTACTATATTGCTTTAATAAAAGGAATTATGCAATTATTTTTACATGAAGTAGGAGCATGTCAAGGGCTAGAAGCGAAACTGTATAGGTATGTTATTAATCAAAATGGCTCATGTGACAATTAATAGTTTATCTTAGTTTCAGCTAAGATATTAGGTTTAAATAGCAAAGTCCAGCTCTGGCTGATTTGGCTCAATGGATAGAGCGTTGGCCTGTGGACTGAAGGGTTCCAGGTTTGATTCTAGTCAAGGGCACAAGCCCTGGTTTCAGGCTCAGTTCCCAGTAGGGGCATGCAGGAGGCAGCCAATCAATAATTCTCTCTCATCATTGATGTTTCTATCTCTCTCTCCCTCTCCCTATTCCTTCCTCATAAAAAAGAGTAATATGCTAATTAGACTGGACATCCTTCCAGGTGACCTTCCAGACGAAACCAGGGCTGCGAGGAAAGCCTGGTCCCAAGTGCCAAAGGGAAGCCAGTGCTGGAAGCTGGGGGAATGAATGCCACTCTTACACGAATTTGATGCATTGGGCCTCTAGTAAAGAAATAAATAGCAAAGTCCAATACAGAAATACTGTAAACTGACAAATGGGTTAAAGTCTTGCCAGTATGGCTCAGTCATTGAGCGTTGACCCATGAACCAAGAGGTCACCCATTGGATTCCCAGTTAAGGCACATGCCCAGGTAAGGGGAATGCAAGAGGCAGCCAATTTTTTTTTTTTTTAAAATCAATCTTTATTGTTCATATTATTACAAAGGTTCCTCATTTCTTCCCCCCGCCACCAGGTTCCCACCCCACCCTCCGTCCCCCCCCACATCCCCCATTGTCCTCATCCATAGGTGCAGTTTATGTTCAGTCTCTTCTTCCCTCAATTTCCCCAATAGTAAATCCCTTTTCAGATAGTAAATCAGTTACTTAGCATTTTCTCATATCAATAATACCTCCACATGCCCAATGATACACTTCACACAAAAGACATTTCCCACTAGGTCAACCAGAAGAGGCAGCCAATTTATGTTTTTCTCTCATCAATGTTTCTATCTTTCTCCGTTTCCCTTCTTCTTTCTTAAATAACAAATCAATAAAACATATTTTTTAAAAACTTGCCCACATATAAAAACATGCATGTTTCCACTTGTAACAGATAGATACTACATTCTTTATACATATATTTTCACTAGCCCTAACATCTTTTCCTAGTAGAGAATTTTTCTAATCCCATTTTACAGATGGAAAAAAAAAAAAAAATCAGAGAGGTTAGACATAGACACACAGTGAAGTATAAGAACTGATATGTGGACCCAGATAAGAATGACTCAAAAGCCCAAATTTTCCACTACACCATCTGGACCAGCGGTCGCCAACCTTTCAGACCTCCTATCCGTGGACTACCAGTTGGCGATTACTGATCTATACTACCTGGGTCAGGATCGTTATTTCAAGTTTTAAACGTGAAAAGTGATCAGGGGGAAAAAAGGAAGATGACTAAATTGAAAAATCATTTTTTTTTTGCTCTCAAATCTATAACAAAATGATTAAGATATTTTAAAATGACAATAGTTGGCCGAAACAGGTTTGGCTCAGGGAATAGAGCGTCGGTCTGCGGACTGAAAGGTCCCAGATTCGATTCCAGTCAAGGGCATGTACACTGGTTGTGGACACATCCCCAGTAGGGTGTGTGCAGGAGGCAACTGGTCAATGTTTTTCTCTCATCGACATTTCTAGCTCTCTATCCCTCTCCCTTCGGCTCTGTGGAAAATCAATAAAATATATTTTAAAAAATAATAATAAAATAAAATAAAATGACAATAGTTGGTCATGAAACCATGCAATTGTTTTATAAACACTAGTATTAAGTACCTTTGCCAGTTTCTCAGGGATAAGTTCTTCTTTTGGACCTCCAATTTCCTCATCATCGTCATCCTTCTTCTTTTTTTGATTTCTCTGCTGCTTTTCTTTTTCTGCATTTTTTTTCTCTTCCTCTAGCTGGGCTTTCTTTTGAGCTCTTCTTTGTTTATTACGTAGTTTCTTTAGTTCTTTATCAGACATGTTTGCTATAGGCAATAAGTGTTAATTAACAGAACTGTAAGACTATTAATCAGATTAGTAATGATAATTTCTAAATATTCTCATACAAACTCCCATAAATATGACATTATATATGTTCATATGCCAATGTGTACCTAGCCTTTTAATGGCTCCACAATTTGATAGAAAACCCTGTAACAACTTCAAAAAAATTTTGAAAACAGGTGAAGACTTGGTGCTGTAACCACAGCAAAGCATAAAAGTATAAAAGTTCCTACATCAATATCAAACTACTTAACAATTCTAGGAATATAACAAGTTGTTTCATATCTCTATGGTTTCCTACTATGCTTTCTCCTAGTCATGCCTTCTCTTACCTTGTCAAACTTACTCATTCTCTACTCTGTGCTGCCACTGACAAAGCACTGGTGCTATATTTGATTAATAATAGAATGGAGCAAAAGTAGGTTTACTGTTGTTCGTATGGAAAATAAATAAATAATAATACAATAATACAGTTTCAAGTAACACCCGGAAGCAGCAGCCGGAGCGAAGCCGGCAGCAATAAGCAGGGACATGGGGCCAATATCTGCAGCGCCCCATCACGGAGAGATCGAACCAGGCAGCGGGGTCAGCATCACGGTGGAGTACTGTGAACCCTGCGGCTTTGAGGTGACCTATTTGGAGCTGGCGAGTGCCGTGAAGGAGCAATACCCTGGCATCGAGATCAAGTCGCGCCTGGGGGGCACAGGGGCCTTTGAGATCCGGATCAATGGACAGCTGGTGTTCTCTAAGCTGGAGAATGGGGGCTTCCCTTACAAGAAAGATCACATTGAGGCCATCCGGGGGCCAGTAATAGAGAACCCCTAGATCACCAACAACCATCCTCCCTGTGTCATCTTGTGACTACATGGGATTCCAGGTTCCTGTTGTGTTCTGGGATACAAGCCTTGTTTTCCTCTTTGCTTCTGTTGAGGGTTCCCTGCAGTCTTTTTCCGCTCACTTAGCTCCAGGTAGCTGAGACCCTGACCTCCACTTGGCCCCTTTGGGTACCAGGAGGGAATAGAAACTTCCATTGGTCTGGAGGGCCTCTCCACTGATATTATCACAGCCACCTTGTACTCCCTACCAGGGATCAGTGTCCACAAAAGCTTGCTCCCCGCTCCAGCCTAGCTACATCTGTAAGAGGTCATTATAGTTTTATTTTCTACTAGCCCCAGGCAGTCTGCTATTGGCAATAAACTGGCATTACAAACAAACAAACAAAATACAGTTTCATGTAATCACAATAAGCCTACTTTTGCCCCACCCTGTATTTTGCTTGTCACAAAACTTGGTGTGTACATCTGTCTCTGATTTAGATTTTTGAGCAACTTGGTAGCAGAGACTGTGTTTATTTATAATCTTTGTATTTTCAGGGCCTCACAGCATACCAAAATACACACACACAAAAAATGAAATAATTGCTAATGAACTAATGATAAATTAAAACAAGGACACTGGGCCTTAGCCTTAGAGGGTCAGATTGTGGACTGAAGGGTTCCAGGTTCAATTCCAGTCAAGGACAAATACAAAGAACTACCCTAAAGTGAATATGTAAAGTATATGTATACATAAAACTCTGGAAATTACAATTCTGTATAAAGGAAACTGCACCTTTCATAGGGATAACCATTTGAAAGGAGATAACCTTTGGGTAGGAGAAAAGTGAAAGATTTCTCAGTTACTAAGGATACTTCTGAATTGTTTCAATGTTGTATAGTTAATTGTGTATTATTTGTACAACATGAGAAAGAGTAGAAAGCCAGGACATGTGAACAAAAAGGTAAACAAAAAAGTCAGGGGATCTCAGCTCTCAGCTTCAACTATAAATTGTCCTGTAGAATCTTACTGTTATCTTTTCTGAACTTGAAGAAACAACAGGTAGCAACAGATTCTAGAGAACCTGTACAATGATTTTAATGTGTGACCTTAGAAATTTCTAAACTCTTCTTGCCTACCAGGAAATAAAATTTAATCATGAAAAAAAAAATTAATCATGAATTAACAACAAAAACTCCAAAGGTATTTAGCAGGTGGAAGAATACACAATGCAACCAACTATAATATCAGAAGAGAAATAAACTTAGGATTAAAGAAAGAAATTTGACACACTTTTTTTTTTAAAATATATTTTATTGATTTTGTACAGAGAGGAAGGGAGAGAGATAGAGAGTTAGAAACATGGATGAGAGAGAGTCATCGATCAGCTGCCTCTTGCACACCCCCTACTGGGGATATGCCCACAACCAAGGTACATGCCCTTGACCGGAATCGAACCCGGGTCCCTTTAGTCCCCAAGCCGACGCTTTATCCATTGAGCCAAACCGGTCTCGGCCTGACACACTCTTTATGCCTCAACTCCTGTAACATTTTTGTCATCAGTCACAAAATATTTGGACATACAATTAATTTATATCCTTTTACATGTATGCTAGATCACTTTCATTCTGAGATTATTTTCCAAATAATTATCTAAGAAAGATTAGATACCTACACTGACACCTTGCCATGAAAAAAGGCAATTATTAAGCCCAGCCAGCATGACTTAGTGGCTAAGTGTCAACCTATAAACCAGAAGAAAGGCATGGTTTGATTCCTGGTCAGGGCACTCTCTCATCATCACTGATGTTTCTCTCTCTCTCTCCTTCTCTCTTCCTCTCTGAAATCAATAAGAATACATACATACACACACACACACACACACACACACACACACACACACACACACACACACACATATATATATATATATATATATATATATATATATATATAGCAGAAACTGGTTTGGCTCAGTGGATAGAGCGTCGGCTTGGGTCCCAGGTTCGGTTCCAGTCAAGGGCATGTACCTTGGTTGCAGGCACATCCCCTGGGGGGTGTGCAGGAGGCAGCTGATCAGTGTTTCTCTCTCATCGATGTTTCTAACTTTCTATCCCTCTCCCTTCCTTTCTGTAAAAAATCAATAAAATATTTTTTAAAAGAATATATATATATATATATATATATATATATATATATATATATGAATTTAAAAGGCATTTTAAAAACTGGTCAAATAAATAAAATAAAATAAAAACTGGTCAAATGATAAATCACTAGACAATTTTAATGGCTTAATTCCAAGCTGGCTTTTAATTTTCAAGCAATATTCATCTTTTAGTGGGTTAATTACAAATTATTATTAAAAAAAGGAATAACTAGACATACTGGCAGTCAACATTAATGTAGAATGCCAACATTATTTATATAGTTAGCAAATTATAGTACTGGAGCTAGCAATTTACAATACTGAATAAACCAATTATTAAATGTAAAACACACAAAAGTCAACTTCTTAAAAGCTACTGATCAGTTAAAAATTCTTAACTTATGAAAATATAAAGTAAACAGTACTTTTTTAAAAAGTATGTATTTTTAGCCGAAACTGGTTTGGCTCAGTGGATAGAGCGTCAGTCTGCGGACTGAAAGATCCCACGTTCAATTCCAGTCAAGGGCATGTACCTTGGTTGCAGGCACATCCCCGGTAAGGGGTGTGCAAGAGGCAGCTGGTCAATCTTTCTCTCTCATCGACGTTTCCAGCTCTCTCTCCCTCTCCCTTCCTCTCTGTGGAAAATCAATAAAATATTTTTTTTTTTAAAAGAAAAAAAAAAGAAAAAAGAAAGTATATATTTTTATTGATTTTAGAGAGGAAGGAGAGAAACATCAATGCTAAGAGAGAATCATTGATTGTCTGCCTCCTGCACAGCCCCTACTGGGGATCGAGCCCACAACCTGGGCATGTGACCTGAACCAAACCTGGGGCCCTTCAGTCCGCAGGCAGATGCTCTATCCACTAAGCAAAACTGGTTAGGGGAATAGTATTTTTCTTTTGTTGCTTAGAGAAATTCACAAAGTGACTGTCATCATTTTCTAAGCTTGTATACCTTTAGTATCCTCTGGATCTCCCCCCCTACCAGATACCAAAATCCCCGGATATTGAAGTCCATTATATAATGAAGCAGTATTTGCATATAGGCTACAACTTGGTATGACCAAACATCACTTTGTTTACATGGATTCAGTATAGTGCTTTGGCACATGATAAATTCAAGTTTTACATTGAATGGTTGCCTCCTGTGCACCTGACTGGGGATCGAAACTACAACCCAGGAATCAAATCCATGACCTTTTTTATTTAACAAGGAATGATGCTCCAACCAAATAAGCAACCTGGCCAGGGCCCCCAAGCAACCCATGTTTGGTTCAATCCACAGATGGAAAACCCACAGATGTGAAGGGCTGGTTATAGTATCTTCCCAGAAATGCTTACCAAACTGCTCAGGAAAAATTTATATATTACACAAAAACATAAATACACATACTCATAACATAGCAAACAATAAGAGTTCTTTGTATATTATACCATACCTGTATCAGCTTCACGTTCTTTATTCTCATCTGTAAGGGGGTTGTCATGAAGCTTCAAATAGATCTCTATAGCAATTCTTGCTGCCTTGAAGTAAAATGGATGCTGTCGAAGTACATCTTCTAGTTTTAATAAGTCCACATATGATCTAAGCGTAATCTTCCTCATACAGTATGTATGAAAATCAAACTGGTCATCAGTGATTTCTATAAAATGCTAACAAAATTGTCTTTTTTATTACATTGAAATAGAGCAATACCAAAGAAAACTACAAAACTCAAAGCCTTGGAACTAGTGTTTTAAGCATAAAAACATTAGTAAAATAACATAAAAAGTTACAATCATTCAATATACCAAATGCTTTGCAAATAAGCAAATATAATTGACCATCACCAATTAGCAAAATATATACATATACAAAGCACTGAATTACTTGTTGGATAAAAAGGAAACACAATGTTTTAAAACATTTATTTATCCCTTTCTTAATTATCCTATAAAATAGAGTTAATATACTAATTAGACTGACCAACAGGACGACCTTCTGGACAACCTTCCAGCAACCATCCAGACACCTTCTGTACAAAACTGGGGCTGCAAGGGCCACACAAGGCTACAAGGGGCTGAGTCCCTTGCACAAATTTCGTGCATCGGGCCTCTAGTTCTTAAAACTATCATGATAAATCAAACAGTACACGTAATGATGTAATATAGTAAGATTTGCATAAACATTCAGTTTTTACATTTAGAACGATTTGCAAAATATTATAATATTCAGTATTTGGTAACTTTTATAAGGATACAAATCTGAATGCTGTGAAATAGTAATGTTAGTATGTAGAAATCAGCAAGTAAATCAGGCAACCAGAAACTAACACAATTCAACTAAGCTCTAGGGTGCTCTAGTTAACAAAAGAAGCATAAAATTATATAACCTATTTTTATCTGGGGGGAAAAAAAAAAAACACAAAAAATAATCAAAAGTGAAGAGGACTATGAAAACAATGAATTTATAAAATATGAGGAATTACACAGGCATGTGGTCGGCAAACTGCGGCTCGAGAGCCACATGCGGCTCTTTGGCCTTTCTTTGGCCCCTTGTGTGTGTGTGGCTCTTCCACAAAATATCACCTGCGGGCACGCACATACAGTGCTATTGAAACTTTGTGGTCCATACGCAGAATTCGGTTTCCGCCCTGGGCAAGTCTATTTTGAAGAAATGATGTTAGAACATTCAATGGAACCAAAGAGCCACCTGGAGCTTGCGAGCCGCAGTTTGCCAACCACTGACATAGGCTATTTAACTATTGTAAAAAGCCTTCAAAGCTCCCATCTCATAAATATCAAGGGAATATGGTATCCCTAATCAAATCTATGACAAAACAGGTTTCTAGGATAACTTAATGAACTTTGTATATGTTACTAAAGGAACAGCAGCAATTTCAAAGAAACATTAAAAAAAAAAAAAATCAATGAAAACATAAAATATAAACTTTCCATAAATATTTTTACATAAATTTTGCAGGAAGAGAAATCAATGGGAAAGTCTGCAGAAAATGCAGTCTATAATATTTCTGTTATAAAAACTGAAAAATGTAAATACTAATATTTAGAAATCACTTACTGTAACTTATAAAGAGAAAGGGGGAAAAATGGAATTTACTCCAAATCTTTAATATTTAAGAAAGTAAAATGAAAAACTTGTATGTTCAGGGTACTTACTCTCTCAATTTCATGACATTTCTTAAGTGCTTCACCAAATTTATTCATTGTCTTATAAGCCTGGGCACATTCTGTCTGGAACCACATGCATTGCATTTCATTCAAATTTTCTACTGCTGATGTTCCTTCCTATGTGAAAATCACACATATTCAAGAACATTTCTTACCAAATACATTATTCTACCACAGGATTTCAGAAAAATTTGGTCGAGTGACCTGAATTATTTCAAAATCATTTTTTAACCCATTCTTAAATTAAGAGGGAATAGTTAAAATGTGAAAGAAACTGATATTTCCTTTTTTTAAAAATATTTCTAAGGACACAAAAAATGTGTACCTTTGTAAACAACTAATCAAAATATCTATACAATTGGGTTAGAGAGTAACGTAAGAAACAGAACACTAGGCACATAGCAGTTACTCAATTAATATTGATTTCTTTCCTCTCTAAAAAAATTAATCTGAACATCCATCAATATAAATCAAGAGTTTCAAAACACATTGTACAACCATCTAAAAAGTTAGTAATGTTTTATACTAACATTGATTTCAATTTTTGCTAATAATGTGACTTAAAATCCAGACTATTTAAAAAATATATATATTTTATTGATTTTTTACAGAGAGGAAGGGAAAGGATAGCAAGTTAGAAACATCGATGAGAGGGAAACATCGATTAGCTTCTCCCTACATATCCCCCACTGGGGATGTGCCCGCAACCAAGGTACATGCCCTTGACCGGAATCGAACCCAGGACCCTTCAGTCTGCAGGCCAATGCTCTATCCACTGAGCTAAACCGGTATTGGCAAAATCCTGACTATTTTTATGTTAAAAACATTAAAAACTGCCCCGCCAGTGTTGCTTGGTGGTTGAGCATTGACCTATGAACCAGAAATTCACAGTTCAGGGCACATGCCTGGATTGCAGGCTTGATACATACCAAGTAAGGAGCATGCAGAAGGCAGCCAATCAATGATTTTACCTCATCATTGATGTCTCTTTCTCTTTGAAATCAATAAATATATTTTTTAAGATATATATTAGAACCAAACTTTGACAATAAGTATACAAGTAAGGTATACAAGTATGAACTATTTATTCTTAAGACTATTAGCTGTACAAACCCTTGTAAACTTTGAGCACATTTCTTCAGCCTCTTTTATCAGATTGGCTTTTAGCATATATTTTGCACACTTGGAGTTGATAAATCTGTCTGCTGTGTCCAAAGCCTGAGCCTCATCCATCCATCTTGCAGCTTCTTTAATATTCCCAGCATGCTTACAGGGTACAAAAACAAAATAAACCAGTCAGTATGCTAATATTCCTATGCAAGTTATCTATTGATAAATGACTGAAACCACAAGTGAAAGGTATTCTTCTGACTAATCAATGCAGATGCATAAATTCTGCTATAAGTTCTGATACTTTTCTGGCCATGTAGAATATAGGCTCTCTAATAGTAAAGACTTATTTTAATATTATTGACAACTGTTATAACCTCATTGCCTACAAAAGAGCTAGCACACAGTGAATACTCAAAAATAATGGTTGAATCAAAGAATAATAATTTAAACCTTTAAGTGAGAACAACATTAAATGTAAAGGTCATAAAAGGCAAAGGGATGACCAATTTCTACCCAAAGGAACCATGGAAACATTACTGATTAGGACCATTAGTGAACATTCCACAGTGATCCTAACTAGTCCATTTGGCAAAGCCACAAAACTAATGAACATAACCTGGCTTTGAAAAGTGCTTTTAAACATTACTTAATTTCTTTCTTTTTGGTAAATAAGTTATTGGTTCCCCAGTAAGTTTTATTACTAACTTATATTTGTATTTTAATATAATTTATTTTATTTTAAGATGATATTAAAACATATGTTTAGAAATTCTCATACAAGACCCAAAAATTGAGGAGGCAAAAGATATAATATGTAAAATTCAGAATAGAATCTTTAGTTTAATTTCATTAACATTACCAGATATTGATATATGATCAAACTCAAATGTTAACAGAAACAAATATTTCACAGCAAACATAATTATTTGCTTACCTACACTCTTACTACTTAAAACCAAGAAAATAACCAGATACATATGTGTGAGAATGTATGAAAATATATAACCAAATATAAATAACCATAAATCTGTGTCTAGATAAATAGATAGATATGAGTGATCCAATTAGCATAACCATGACAAGTGCAACAATAGTCAGACTAAGAATGTACTATACCTGTTACTTCATGTTTTATGACCTGTCAAATAGTCATTGTTCTTATAGCACTAAGAATCAATAAAATATAGAAAAAATTTCTAAGTTCATTACTCTATAAGAAAAAAAAGGGAATAGATTTTTACCTTATAGATTTTAGCTTTCACAAGGAAGAGTTCTATCAACGTAGGTGTACTTTCAATAGCAGTATTTATGTATTCAAGAGCGATAGATGGCTGACCAATTTTGTCATAATGTTGTGCTAAGTAGTACTGAACCCAAAGTAATGTGGTTGGCGGTTCCTCTTTTCCATCATCTTTAAAAAGTAGGGGAGAGGGGTAGAAGAGTAAAGAAACCAAGATTAGTCAAGATTAGTCATTATATATATCTATATTAAGAGGATACCCACATCAAAATGGGCATTTTATCTTTATTAATAAAGAAAGTAGTTTGAACCATGTCACTTATGAAACTACTACAAAATTACCCCTAAATGTATTAGTATAAGATCTTTGGATGGGATCACACTTTCTGTTCTGTATCTAGCACCTAGCCCAATTCCTTGCATTTAGTAAGAACTTTACATAATAAATATGGTGGGTAAATGAAATCAAAGCTATATTACCTAAAAGGAAAATGAAACGGGTGGGGTAAGACAAGTTGTACTAGAACTATGAGGAATTTATATATGAGGGGGAAAAAGGCAAAAGAAATTTTCCATTAATGTGAGGTTAAAAAAAGAACAAGGCCCAACTGTTTAACTGGGTTTCTCACTATATACTGAAATATATATATATTTATGATGTGGTTAAATTCTGGTGATTATAGTATTCTTGATATATATTAATATTACGGTGAATATGCAACAATTCATAATTGGGATAGAATAAAAACTATATACAAAAAAGTTATCTTTTAGTAAATAAGTAAAAATATTTATTCTATGTTTTATTTCATAATTTAACTTTTATATACTCATAAGAAAATGTGTAGGTTAAATACACAACCTACACATTAAAGAGTGCTTTTATAACACAAATTTCTAAAATCGGAGAATTGTTCTTTGCTTTCAAAGAAAGCAATAGACTGCATATTTTTTTCCTGGTAAAAGTAGGATGGCTCAGTGGACAAACAATAGGAGTGGAACTCACCAACTCCCGATCTGATAGATCTGCAACTAAATGCTGCATATTCTTGGGCATGTCATTGAACCTCTTCCACATTTGTAAAATATGTAGGAAAATGCTGATAATCAAAGGAATATTATGATGATTAACCAATGAAACCATGGTAACGCCTTCTAAATAGTATAAAAATTAATCTGAGACCTAGAAATTATGATGAAACCAACAGCAGTGAGCACTCCAGGTCCCATATTGGGCTTTTCCACTGCAAGAACCAGGGTTCCTTGGGGGGAAAAACAATTGATTACAGGTCTATTATGGGCAGTGTATAAGATAAACTGGAATAATCAAATTGCAAGGAAGCTATCAACTACTACCAGGGTATAAGAAGACTAGAACCATTGAAACTGCAATGACTTGCCCAGCTGATTTGGCTCAGTGGGTAGAGCATCAGCCTGCAGACTGAAGGGTCCCAGGTTCAATTCCGGTCAAGGGCATGTACATTAGTTACAGGCACATCCCCGGTAGGGGGTGTGCAAGAGGCAGCTGGTCGATGTTTCTTTCTCATCAACGTTTCTAGCTATCTATCCCTCTCTCCTCCTCTCTGTAAAAAAAAAATCAATAAAATATATATATATTTTTTAAATTGCAAAGACATAAAACAGCAAATATGTTTAAACCCAGGAATTCATAATACCTTTCAAACATGTACTAGCCATCTTTGTGGGATGCTACAAACTAAACCAATTCATTATTTTGAAAACTGGTAAAGAATGGAGAAGAGGAGAAACTAAGATGGCGACATAGGTAACCGCCTAACTGCAGCCTCACACAACAATTTCAAAAAATACAACCAAAATATAAGATGGACAATATCCAGAACTACAGGAAAATTGACTGACTGGAAATTCTACGAGAAGGAAAGAGAAAACTAGAAGGAAAATCAGAGGAGCTGTAAAAGCGTAAGGTACGGAGACACATTACGTGCAGAGGGGACGGAGCCAGAGAGAAGGGGCGGCTGAGTGCCTGGCTGGTGTTCCCTAGCAGGAAGGAGATAAAAGCTCCGGACTGTGCTGAACCCCAGTTCTGACAGCACTGAACTTCAGTTCTGGGCAAGACCTTCAGGTCCCGGCTCATACAGAGGGAATCTGGGCTGTAAGGCTGAAGCTCAGGGGAGCGGTGAAAGGCAGAACCCCGGAGTCGTGCACATTGCGCGCAGAGGACTGACTGTTGACTATGCTGCTAGATTGCCCTAGCGGGAAGGAGACAAAAGCTCCGGACTGTGCTGAGCCCGTTCCAACTGCACTGAACCCCAGTTCTGGGCGAGACCGTGGGGACCCAGGCTCATACAGAAGGACTCTGGGCTGTAAGGCGGAAGCTCAGGGGAGGGGCGAAAGGCAGAGCCCCGGAGTCCCGCACATTTAGCACAGAGGACAGACTGTTGATTGAGCTGCTGGATTGCCCTAGCGGGAAGGAGACATAAGCTCCGGACTGCTCTCATCCCCACTTCCAACTGCACTGAACCCCAGTTGCGGGCTCTTCGGGGGAGAGACTAGACTGTCTGGTGGCGGGCGAAACTCAAGGGCACCTTTTTCTCAGAGGTGCTTGCAGCGAATACCAAAGCAGTGAGTACCGAAGGACAGTGAGGAACACTAAGACTCAGGAACCTCATAGGGTGGGGCTAACCGGAAGCCAAGGCTGTAGGCTCCACCCTGAAACTCTGCCCCATTCAAGTTGACCACAGAGGCTCTTGCAGTTTTCCAAGTCTAGTCGAATAAGGCTGTCTCCTGGCATAGGCACAGCTGATCCTCCCACCCTACCAACTCAGGGAAGCAGTGAAAATGCCGAGACAAGGACACAGATCACAAACGAAAGAAATGGAGGACAAAAAGCGACTGGATATAGAGTTCAAAACCACGCTTATAAGGTTTTTCAAGAATCTCCTAGATAAGGCCGATAAAATAAACAAGACCTATGAATATATGAAAAGGAATCAACTAGAAATAATAAGGGATCCACAAGAAATAAATACATTCTCTGAAATAAAAAATATTAAAAAAGTATACAGAGTCCTAAAAACAGAATGAAAGATTGCAAGAATCAAGTCAAAGACTTGGAACACAAAGAGCCAGAGGACACTCTTCCGTATTGGCAAGAAGACAAGAGAATCCAGAAAGTTGAAGATAATATAAGAAACCTCTGGGACAACTTCAAGCGAACCAACATCAGAATTATGGGGGTCCCAGAAAAAGTGAGAGAGCAAGATACTGAAAATATACTGAAAGAAATAGTGACAGAAAACTTTCCCCACCTGGTGAAAGAATTAGACTTATAAGTCCAGGAAGCGCACAGAACTCCAAACAAAAGGAATCCAAAGAGGATCACACCAAGACACATCATAATTAAAATTCCAAGAACAAAAGACAAAGAAATAATATTAAAAGCAGCAAGAGCAAACTACCTATAAAGGAGCACCCATACGATTGTCAGCTGATTTCTCAACAGAAACCATGCAGGCCAGATGAGAATGACAAGAAATATTCAAGGTGATAAATAACAAGAACCTACAGCCAAAAATACTCTACCCAGCAAAGCTATCACTCAGAATCGAAGGCCAGATAAAGAGCTTCACAAATAAAAAAAACTAAAGAAGTTCATCACTGCCAAACCAGAATTATATGAATTGAAGAGAAAGAAAACAAAGATAAAAATTATGAACAAATATGTAACTATCAACAAGTGAATCTAAAAACCAAGGGAATTAAAAAAAAAATCTGATGAAGAATATTAACTTTTGAATATAATAGAATCAGAGAAGGGAAAGGAAGTGGATTGATAATTCCCGGGGAAAAGAGGAGAGTGGGGGCTGTGGGAAGAGCCTGAACAAAAACTGTGCACCTATGGATGAGGACAATGGGGGTTGGGGAAAGGGCAGAGGGTGGGGTGGGAACCTGGTGGAGGGGGGGAAAATGAGGAACTTTTGTAATAATATGAACAATAAAGATTTTTTTTTTTTTTAAATGGAGGAGAGAGAAAAAAAATGGTAGAAGAGGCAGGGAGAAAAAGCAGCATTTATCTTATTTTTCCTACGCATAATGAAATACTGGATAAGCACAAATAGATGGAAAAATTTTCTTTTATAAGGTAACAAAAAATGAATGCTGGAATATAATCAGTTTATAATTTCTACCAGTTGCTAACATGTATAACAAATACTATATTTCTCTTGATGGAAGAACATACCACCACCCATCACATCTTTTAAATCTCATCAAGCCTCTGTCCATTAGAAGTGTCTGTGATGATGGACTTGTCCTGTATCTGCCCTGTCCAATATGGTATGCAGTCACTTCAGATGGCTATTGAGCAGCATTTAAAATGAGGCTATTGCAACTGAGGAACTGAATTTTTAATTTTTTTATAGCCACATATGGCTAATGGCTATCAATTTAAAACAATTGTACATCCAACTACCAATTTATAATAAATTCTGAGAATAGAGGAATAATATGTTAAACACCACCATGGGAGTACAGTCAGCAAAATCTAGACTGTAGAAAAACTCAAAAATATCTAATTTCTTTAACCAAAAAGTTGCAGAAGAGAAGATAGGAAAAAAGCCTATAGAATAAGAGAGAGTTAAGAGCCGAAACCAGTTTGGCCCAGTGGATAGAGCGTCGGTCTGAGGACTGAAAGGTTCCAGGTTTGATTCCGGTCAAGGGCATGTACACTGGTTGCACACACATCCCCCATAGGGGGTGTGCAGGAGGCAGCTGGTCAATGTTTCTCTCTCATCAATGTTTCTAGCTCTCTATTCCTCTCCTTTCCTCCCTGTAAAAAAATCAATATATTTATTTAAATAAATAAATAATGAGAGTGAAGAGACTTATCAACCAAATTCAAAATATAGATTTCAGTTGGTTCTTCATTCAAACTATTTTTGAACACAAAAAGAAAAAAATGATGTGTCTAAGATAGCTGAAAAGCATGGACCTTTTTTTCTTTGATATTAAGGAAGTATTAATGTTCAGGTGTGGTGATGATATTATGGTCACCATCTTTAGAATAGTAAAATATTCATCAATGAAATTATGTGATGTTTGGGATTGCTTCAGAATAACATGGCAGAAGGAAATAGGTAAGAATATAAATGAAAAAAGTTTGGCCAGGCAATAAAGTAACTGGAGCTAGATGGTAGGTAAATGGCTAATCATCTATTTTGCAGATGGTTTTAATTTTACATAAAATGTGTTTAAATAAGCTAATATAATTTTCTTCCTTCCAAAATATTTTCATACAATGTTTAAATTAATGCATCTCTAGCATAAAGGGGAAAATCATTTACATTTACTAAAAGTATTGCCTAAATAAGGAACAGTAATGATCTTCTAATTAAGAATTTCATAGTACATTAAAAAATTCAAGATATTTTTAAAACCAAAACTTGAAAACTTACCATTGGGGTTAAATAACCGGCAGCTTTTTAAAGAAGTTTCATAACCTACTACTAATTCTTCTATGATTGCCACCTAGAGTACAAATACACAAGCACACTTTAGTAAAAAATTTATATATATTTATATATTTTATATATGTCATGTATATATGTCATATGTATGATGTATGTATGTATGTATGTATGTATGTGTGTGCAAAATGTGTAATTCACTTTTAAAGGGCTACATAAACATTCACACACACTTTTATAAATCTCTTAATCTATAGATAAAAATTTAAAACCAAGTCCCCAGCCAGTGTGGCTCAATTGGTTATCACCCCATGCACCAAGAGGTCACCGTTCTGATCTCTGGTAGGAGGTATGCAGGAAGCAGCCAATTAATGTTTCTATCTCTTTCTCCCTCTCCGTTTCTCTCTCTCTAAAAATCAATAAAAACATATTTGTTAAAAGCTTAAAAGCAAGTAAACCATATGTCTTGTGTATAAGACATAGCTTTTAAAAAACTTACTGGCAACTCCTTTCCCTGCTAGAAAATAAAGCACCGAATTGAACTAGAAATCAGGAAAAAGTTGGACAAAAAGAAATAGTGTTGTGGATGATTTTTATCTCAATCCATATAAATAAAATCCAAATTAGCATTTATTCTTCAGAAATCAAAATTAAATACTATGTGAAACGAATTCTCAATTTCATAATCCGGAGGAAAGCATTAATAAAAATCAACATAGAACAGTAGATGGGTTTCTGAGGTCCAGGAGAGTGAGTGGGTATCCATGTTCTTCTGGCTTCTCCTGAGTCATGACTATACTACTTGTTCCTATCTTCATAAGAAAGCTTATTAAATAGACTTCTATTACTACAGAAGCTCTCTTTAATGACCTCAACTTAACTGATCCAATAGATTAATACCAGCTCTCTCCATTACCTCAGAAAATTGTGAGGACTGAATGGCCACAGCTAGGTTATTCTGGTGCGCCCATGTTCTTCTGGTCCCACAAGTTGAGCTACATGTTTACTAAGTTTTGTTTTCCCAAACCTGTTTAAATCATTTGCATTTATTATCATCATTATAAAATTTAATTCAGTATTATGTAAACTTAAGAAATGAGAAAAGAACTGTTTCTATAAGTTGAGTACTGTGGAAAGACTCAGGATAAATTAGATATTTTTAACCAATTTAGATTTAAATGAGACAACCATATATACCATTAAAATATATAGGAATTCTACAATTAAAACTACTTTTGCAATCATCAAGTTCTCTAGCCAAACTGAAAATAACAGACCACATTTTATAAATGTGATTTATGCAAGATAAAAAAGCGAAAGTCATCAATAAAGCCCATGCCTAGGGCCTCGCAACAAAAGACTGGCAAATGAGTGTACCTTATGTGCTTTAGGTTAGTGTTTAGCATGTTTAATTTGTCCCATCTTTCTGATTCTTCACTGTAACTGATTTTTTTTAATCCAACCAACATGTCTTGATGCCACTGTACTTGCAAGCAAAATAATCTAAATTAAGATCAAAACATCCTCTTAACAAGCATTTGAATATTGTAATATATAGCTAAAAGAGTAAGTTAGCTTATTGGGACAGCAAATAAACTCTTCTGACAGAACTTCTTATACTAAATAAAAAGGAGACATATTACTGAGCTAAAACTTAGTTTAAAAAAAGAAACCACTTCTGAGTTTCACCATGAGCAGGGATTAGAAAAATACTGAAGAATCACTACCTTACCAACTTTTCATACCTACACTAGCTTAAAACAAATAAGTACTAAATTATTTGGATAAAGAAAGAAGAGTCACAAGTGCATTTAAACTATGAGCTAGGAAGACTGATACTAGATTCACCAAATGTGTACTATGTGCACAGATAAGCAAGAATCAACTATTTCAAATACTAAGCAAATTATAGTTTTTTAAAAAAGTATTTTGCTTTACCTTTTCTTTATCTTTGTATAATGACCTCAAAGTATTGAAGACTGGTGGACAACCTTTGCTGAAGTTCATCCTCAAGAACTTATCCAAACATTCCTTAAACTTCTCACCTTGGAAGAAAAAAATCCTGTTGACTTATAATTACCCAGACAACTCTAACAATGCCTACTAATATGCACCCTTATATGTTTAAAATGAAGGAAACTGTATATCATACCATCCTTGTCATCCCCTTGCAATTATACTCACCACATAAAAAGTTTAATGGCAGTCTTCTTGGCACCAGTCCTCTGGGATATTTAGTCCAGGCCTCCTCATAAATTTTTAGTCGTTCTAACATAGTAGCTGCAGACCCCAAAAAAATATTTTTATATTTAAGTGTATTATATTTTTCTAACAAATTACAAATTTCTCAAGGTATATAAATAGGATATTAAACAAAATTTGCAGATGGGAAGAAAATTATTTATAATCTAACCATTTAAATGTATCAGTAATCATTTCAGAATATTTCTTCCTTCTAATATTTTCACATTTTAAATATCTATACTCATATAAAATACACAACTTTCTTTATCCTCTTCTATTCTATGCAGCCTTTCAAAATCTGAGGACTGCTGTACTCTAGGTTCTGAGAATGGCTCAATTATTGTATTTCCATGGATGGTTTCTTCCACTATTTTCTTCAACCTCTCCTTTTCTTTCTTCCTTTTTTTGTAATGACCGGATATATCTTGTTCTTTATTTATTTTTAAATATGTTTTTATTGACTTTTAGAGGATGGGAGAGGGATAGATAGAAACATCAATACAAGAGAAACACCACTGTTGGGCTGCCTCCAGCATGCCGCCACTAGGGATCTAGACCACAACCCAGGCATGTGCCTTGAGTGGGAATTGAACTGCTGAACTTTTGGTTCATGGGTTGGTGCCTAACCACTGAGCAACACCGGCTGGGGCAACCTCTCCTTTTCTAACTCCTATCCTCTGATTTACTTTGGAGCTTCTAGATCTGTCCCCTCCCTTCCATTTCTCTATTTCTTTTGTATTTTCTCTTTTACATTCAGTTGAGACTTCCCTCAGTTCATCAATCTTTTACTTCACTAATTTCCCCTCAGTTGTGGCCTCTCTTTTATTCAATCAAGAGTCTTAAGTTGCTAAGTACTAGGTTTTTCCCAGATTCCTAATGATATTTTCTCATCACTATTCATATTTCATGGCTGCCATTCCCTGTCCTTATTCATGTGCTGGTGTTCTAGGATAGTATGACATTGTCACAAAGTTCCTCCTGCATATCTTATTGTATCAGAAATGGCTCAATACCAGTCTTGAGAGAAACATAGCTTCAAATCAGATTCTCTTGGCTGAGGAACAGGCAGGCCTATCCATAGATAACATGTTTCTGGGACTATCCTCACAAGTGGGTCCTGTTCATGGGAGAGGGTGATGGAGGAAATTGGGGAGGAGAGTAGGGAAGTCTCAAAAGCCAAGTTTATTTGAGTGATGGAAATTTAGTCCCTCTTCCCACAAAGCAGCTATATTCATGTGCCCCAGCAGGCGATTCTGCTGTGGCCACAGGTTACCACAGAAGTTATGTTTGCTTCTTTCCTTTACGGAGACATCTTCATTTCTGACAATGGAAATTTCCCCTTCATGCTTCTGCTGCTGCATTTGTGAATTTTTTACATTTGATTTTTAATAAATTAATTTTTAGGAAGGGAGGGGCAGGGAGAGAGAGCAACATCAATGTGAGAGACACACATAGACCAGCTGCCTCCTGCACACCCACTAACAGAGATCAAGCCTGAAACCCAGACATGTGCCCTAACTGGGGAATTGAACCAGGAATCTTTTGGTACGTGTGACTGCCCAACCAACTGAGCAACACTGGCCAGGGCACATTTGTGAATTTTTAAAAGTTGTTTCTAAATTTTCCTCTCAACTATTTCTATGAATTTATGTAGCAGTTTCAGAAAACGCTGTTTCCAAATTAAATGGAAGTTTATAAATGTACTTTTGTATTCAGATTCTGATCCAATTCTTAACTACTTATTTTTCTAGTTATGCTTTTTTGATGAGTTAATAAAATGCATGTTAATAGCCGAAACCGGTTTGGCTCAGTGGATAGAGCGTCAGTCTGCAGACTGAAAGGTCCTGGGTTCGATTCCGGTCAGGGGCATGTACATTGCTTTTGGGCACAACCCTGGTGGGGGGTGTGCAGGAGGCAGCTGGAAGAAGTTTCTCTCTCATCGACATTTCTAGCTCTCTATCTCTCTCCCTTTCTCTCTGTAAAAAAATCAATTAAAAAATATATATATTTTTAAATGCATGTTAATAACAAAAGAAGTAATTAAAACTTAACGAGTAAATTTTAAATAATGCTACCTGGCTTGAGTGCCTTTTCCAGGCCTTTGTAATAGGCCCAGTTTTCAGGATTTCTCTCCTGTAATCCTCTATATACATCAGCTGCATCTTCCAAGCGACATAACTGCAACAGAAGTTCCCCTGATAAAACATAAATGAAGTTAACTACATATTTTCTGGTTATAATTTTAACTTTTCCTCAAATTTTAAAATCTCCTCAATGTTTGAAGTAGATGGACTTGGTATCCTCCTGAGTTCCCAACTTCTTCAACAAGACTATTTACCATGTAATATTATGGTCTCTCCCTTTTTGAAGTTCAAATTTAGAAATGCCATTCTCATCACATCCTTAATTTATTCAGATATTTGTCTAACTCCAAGGTAGTTCCCAAATTCTTTTAACACAATCACCAAACCCATCACCTACTACTTAATTATTCCTGACATCATATGGATAATTTAACATCCAAATTAATGACCTAGCCCAATACCCTAAATTTATCATCTTTTAACTATGAAGCTGTTCTGCTGTAGACCTATATTCATGACATCCAAAACCTGTGTTTTCTAGTGCTTCCAACTACCAAATAGGCATCTTGCTTTAAGCTTAACTTACTTGTCTTCCTCCTTCTGGTCTTACTAATCCTACCCTTCAACCTTACAAAAAAAAACAAAAAAAAAAACACTCCTTTCTTTTCCTTTAGGCCAGTGGTTGCCAACCTTTCGGACCTCACAGACCACCAGTTGGTGACCAGCTGTTCCAAAGGTTTCCTTAAACCAGCGGTTGCCATGGACCACTAGTGGTCCGTGGGCGATGCTGCTTTAGGCCTTCTCAGCAACCCATAGACTCATTGCATGTTTTCTCTGGGCTACACGACCAATCTCGTCCCTGAATGATTATTAGCAGCCCCAAGTATCAACATCAGTCTCAAACCTCAGCTCCCTTATTTAGCAATTTAAGGCGTGGATCATCCCAAATTGTTTGCTCCACACCTTCTCACACACAAAAAAGCGAAGTCATCAGATGAATGGACTGAGACACTGTATGAGCTCCAAACTCACGTAAGCCTCAAACACTACTCAAAATTCTTATCCTTAACGGAACAGCTCCTATTGACCAAAAGTATTATTTTCAAACTATAACTTCATCCTTACACCATTTGCTCTCACCAGGTAATAATATTTAGTGAGTGCTTACTTTATGCTAGTGACTTTGAAATGTTTCACATGCATTAACTAACTCAATTCTCAACTCTATGAGTTAGGTTACCATTAATTTCATAATTTTATAGCAGAGAGGACTTAATTAAGTACAACTTGCTGAGGGTCATTCAGCTAGTTAATTGTTAAAGTCAGGATTTAAACCGACGCAATTCGACTGAATGAGTGCATATTCTTAATATCTACATCAGCAGTTCTAATCAAAGGCACTTTTGCCAACCAGGGAACATTTGGCAATATCTGGAGAATTTTTAGTTGTCACAGTAAAGGGAGGTGGAGGGGAGGATGCTATGGTATCTAATGAATAGAAGCTAGCGATGCTGCTAAACATTCTGCAACATACAGGAAATTTCCACCCCCAACATCTCAGTCCCAAAATCTCAAAAGTGCTGAGATTGACAGTCTGCTTTATATTAACCCAAGGCCTACTTCACTAAGAATATACAAAATATCCTATTTACCACCCATATTTCCTTCCCTTCATCTTCTCCCACATTTTTTTATAAGAGAAACTGATGGAATAAGAATTAATGAAACTTTCTGCCTATCTATATGCCCACTCCCCTACTTCAAGAGGTTCCCAAATTATCGTGACTACCACCCCAGCAATGCCTTTATTATTGGAATTCCCAAAGATCGATGATTCTACTCTCAGTTCCTTTCTATTCTCTTTACATATATTGCCCCCAATACCTGACTCACTGCAGGTATTCAACACATTTTATGGGATGAACCAATGGCTCTGTTTCCTCCTTTATTGATAAAATGAAAGCAATTAGAACTCCCAAATGCCCACTACATCTACACATCCATTTGCCCATATAATCAATCATCTCTTGTTATGGGGGATGAATTAATCATGTTGTTATCTAAGGCTAATCCTTAAACTTATCCACTAGATCACAAACTCTCTACTATAACAAATATTCTGTGTCTATTGGATTATTCTCAAGTAAACATAAGCACATGCTATATATAAAAATATTTTGTTGATCTTGTAACCCATTTTACCCATCACTGTTTCCTTATAATAAAGTTATCAAGAGAAGCAAATGAAATACTTTATTCAGAGTAATTTGAAAACTGTCATGTACTTTCATAAAGAAATTGAGGCCCAAGACTTGCCCCTGATCATATAGCTAGTTAGGAGCCAGCCAATCAAGGAATCTGAACTATTTTTTTTTTTTCCAATCTAGTGATATTTCCATTAAGTCATAAATCTCCTCCCTTTATAACTAATAGGCCATTAAGGGATTTATAGTTCATAACTGAGGTTCAGAAACCTTAAATTTCCATTTTTTCTTGCCAGTAGCAATATCGTCTGCTCAAAATCCATCTAGCAAACAATGGCTACTTCCAGTTTTATGTAACAGATACCACAGTTTTCTTGTGTTCAACTTCAAGGGAAGCCAATGGAATTTGAAACCAGCAAATTTCAGTTCCCTGGACTAACAAGGGTAAAGCAACATTTTAGATGATAATTCCTAAAAAGTACTTGTATTTTTAATTATTTGTCATTCTTTCATATTCCATTATCACTCCCTCAACTCTTAAAACCATAAAACTCCCTTTTTTTCAGCCTTATAATAAATGGCAGCATTAAAGATTTTTATTTAAAAACCTGTCCTCCTATTGCAATCCACACATATAAAACCAAATTTCTGATTTCAATTCATGTTCTTTCCATATCCAGATAAACTATAAAGAACTTTAGAAATGCCCCATATAGCCAAAACCGGTTTGGCTCAGTGGTAGAGCGTCGGTCTGCGGACTGAAAGGTCCCGGGTTCGATTCCGGTCCAGGGCATGTACATTGGTTGCGGGCACATCCCCGGTAGGGGGTGTGCAAGAGGCAGCTGGTCAATGTTTCTCTCTCATCGACGTTTCTAGCTCTATCTCTCTCCCTTTCTCTCTGTAAAATATCAATAAAATATATTTTTAAAAAAAGAAAAGAAATGCCCCATATATACTTTAGTAAAGATTGATATATCTATATAAGAAATCTGGTATACACATCCTGTTCTGCTAATAAGATGTTTCTAAGAAAATTAATCCTATTTTATATAAAATTAAGCAATTACCTCCTGTGTTGTTTTTTTATCAACCCCCTATATTTTAAGATCAAAAATACTTTATTTAAAAAAAAAATATTTTGAGAGATTTCATTCAATAATTTTTATGGCTCAACATTTTTTTACCTAAATATTCATTGTTTAAATGTAATTTTCCCAGATAAAAAATTATTCAAACAGGTTTTCTATCATCAAAAAGTTGAATTACATGCAATTTCCAATAGCAACTAAATTTTTAGCCTTGCTCTTTGTCATAATTAAATGCTAGAATAAATTATATTCTTTAAAAAAAAAATACCTTTGGTTTCTTCTACAGCAAGTTTATCACAAATCTGCTTTTCATAGGTACAAAGGTGATCCAGGGCTTCTCTATAGAGTCCTGCTTCCCGAAGAACTTGATTTTGATATAAAAGGAGTTCACTATATTCATAATCCACTTTATCAGGGGATGTCTATATATGGATATAAGGAATATTAAGTTAAGAATTTTGTTTTTATATTAGAAAATTGTTTATACACTCAAATACATACAAGAAGTCTAAGGATACAATCTGATTGATAAAACTAATTTTTTTAAATTAGTAAGGATCTGTATAGGGAACAATTAAGTAAATAATGATAGTAATAACTTATAACCCACTGACTTAAAAATCCCTAAGTCCTTACATATAATAAATAGGGGGAAAGGAAAGCTCTTATTTAATAGCAGAATGTCAAATAATAAATGTAGAAGGAATAAGAATAATCACCACTTTGTAACTATCACTGAAACAGTTGACTCAAGCAAGAATCATAATCAATAAATGCTAAAACTAGTGGATAAATGTAAACTTTGATGAACAAGCTACCCCATAAAGTCTTGAATTGTCTATTAACACAAAGATAAAAAATAAAGAAAAAATAAATTTATAGTGAAGAAAACTACTAGATACTACCTTATCTAAGTGATCAAATAGAACAGACAGACATTTTGTGCCTCTTAATGTGATGAGCTGAGGAAGGGCTCAACAACACTCTGTGGTTTCCTTCCAAAAATACATAACTATAATTATGAGGAACCACCAAACAAATTCAAATGGATGAACATTCTACAAAAAAAGCAATGCCCTATGTTCTTCAGAAATATCAATGTCATGAAGTACAAAGGAAGTCTTCAAAACTTCCAAAGATTTAAGAGACCAACAAGAAATCATAAGCAAATGTAAAATATGATTCTAAACTAGATCCTAAAATGGGAAAAGAAAAATCTAGAAAAAATATAAACAATTGATAAATGGGCTAGAGATTAGACAGTCTATTGATGTTAAGTTTCTTAATTTTTAAATACTCTACACAGTACTATCCTATAGAGTTCACAACTATAGGGTTATTCTTAGGAAATACTACATAGAAACATTTAGGTGTCAAAGAGCATTGTGTCTGCAAGTACTCACAAATGTTTTTAGAAGAAAATGTAAACAGATAAATAGATATAGAGATTATAAATTTGTTAAATATTAAATTAGTAATGTGTGAACTCCTCTAGGAAGTTCTTTGAACTCCTCTAGGAAGTGTATTCTTATACACTTCTTTCTTTTAGCTATATTTACAATTGGGCCTAGTTTACTAGGTCTGGCTTCTGAGTGTTACCTGTTGTGTTTTCCTAAACTCTTCTAAAATCTTTGCTGCCATTTCATAATCTTCTAATAAGTGGTAAGCAATAGCGTAACCAATCCATGATGCTCTCTGGGCGGGTCGAAGCTGAAGTAATTGATATCTTGTTTCCTTCAAGGCAGGGGGAAAAAACTTTTTCTTAGGTTTACAGTGAAAGCATATGCTTCTTAAAATATCATATTAATTCCCCCACAACACTGAGCAATTTGCAACACAATGCAGGGAATAATATCAGAAAACAGTTTCAAATATCCATATTGTATAGCTTTACAGAAGCAAAAAAATATTTGTTAAGAAGCACAATGAAGCCCTAGCCTATGTAGCTCAGTTGGTTGAAGCAATGTCCAGTGAACAGAAAGGTCACAGGTTCAATTCCTGGTCAGGGCACATACCCAGGTTGCAGGTTCAATCCCAGATCTAATCTGGGTGCATACAAGAGGCAACTACTGGATGTCTCTCTCTCTCTCTCCCCTTCTACTCTTCTGCTCTCTAAAGTCAATTTAAAAAAACATATTCTCAGGTAAGGATTTTAAAAAGGGTACAATGAAGCCTCCAAGGTAATCTTGTAATTTTAAAAAAAAAGTTATAACTAGGTACTTATCATTATTTCCTGATTAGCTCTAAGAAAACACAGATGGGAAATATAGTACAAAGGAAAAACATTTTTAAAGAAAATACAATGCACAACTATTGAATTAAAATCTATAGAAAACAACTCAGCAAGTACTACTGGGGGGAAAAGAAACAAAATTATCTAATTTATAGTATGTTTAAGAATTAAAATGTAGCTACAAAGACAGAATTTTAGTTTCAATGAGGGTAAAAATAAACAAAAAAAATTTGCTTCCCAGAAAAATGTAACTAATATTTAAATGTTAATAGCAGACAAAGGCATTGTCTATGTGAGGAATATTGTTAATTTTTACTGATTTGATTAACTAAATTTTAATTAACTAATCTAACTGCCTCACAGTAAAATAATTTATTTTAAAAATCTGAATAGTCCAGTCACTAACACAATCACTGTTGGGGGAAGGTGTAAGATTTAATTAAATTCTTTTTTAAAATGGAAGATTTTGTTATCAGAAAGTACTCAAAAAAGATTTATATTTTAACAGTATTTTCTCCTAGAATAAAATACATTCTCTATTTCACTTACCCTGTAACCCTCAAGATCTCGCATTTGAATCTGTAGTAAAGAAAGGTCCCTTAAGATTTGAAGATTGTCTTTATCCCATTTTAGCGCATTTCTGTAACACTTAATGGCTTCATCATATTTCTTGTCTGACCTCTGGAGAAGGCCATAAACATGCCAACCTAAAAGAATTAGTTAAGGATACAACCTAAAGGACTTAGTTAAGCCAAGAAATAGTATTCCAATAATATGCCCCAGGAAACACAGAGAACTATAGCTATTTATAAAATTACAAGCATTAAATAAAAAGGAGAATTAAAGATAGAATAGTTTAATACAATGGAAAACAGTACAGTTTTCAAACAGGTCTAGCCTGCCTTGTTAGCTCTATGATCTTCAATAAGTTATTTAATCTGGCCATGTTTCCTCAATTATAAAATGTAAATAGAAAGTCGATAAAGCAAAGCATTAGTTGGGTGATTAATTGGAATAACATATAAAGTGCTCACTGGCTGGCATCTAATGCTCAATAAATATTAGCTAATATCTAAAGAAAAAAGAGGGATGGGTATTCACAACATACAATTATTTAATTATGTATATTTTCTTTTCTTTAGCTAACAAGGTCCTCAGGAGAAAACTCTTAGTGCAGAACAAAGTTCCTAAAAATTAACCACATATAAAATAAAAATATTCATTCTACATATATTAAAATGTCTTAATAATTAGGGTGGTAGATGACCCAAATGGGCAGTCTCCTGCATGCAAAGAATTTAAGAGTCTAATAAGAAACATATATACAGCCAAAACCGGTTTGGCTCAGTGGACAGAGCGTCGGCCTCGGACTGAACGGTCCCGGGTTCGATTCCGGTCAAGGGCATATACCTTGGTTGCGGGCACATCCCCAGTAGGGGGTGTGCAAGAGGCAGCTGATCAATGATTCTCTCTCATCAATGTTTCTGACTATCCCTCTTTCTTCCTCTTTGTAAAAAATCAATATTTTTTTAAAAATTGTAATTTAATAACTTTTATAGCAAGGATTTTCAAGAACAGTAAAATATAGAATATCTAGGGTGGAATGTTTAGCTAAAAATATATATTTAAAATTAAAATTTACTTGAAAAATAAATTTCATAATATGAATGACAAAGTATAGCTTGACAAAATCTTCTGTTGACTGGAACATGGTTCTGAAAAGCCTAAAACACACTACTCTTTATAATCTGCCCCCATTATCTACCTTTCCATTCCTCCCCATTTGAATCACCTCTTGAGCACTGTAACACCTTTTAACTGCCTCTAATCTTTACCTCCTAAAAATTTACTGTCAAGGAGTCTTATCTCCACCAAGAGGAATCCAATTATATAAACCATGGCAAATAACATATAGAACAGTATGCAATCATTAAAATTTATAAAAAGATATCTACAATAATCTGATTAATTAATATTTACTTACCTTTTAGTTTCTGGTTATTCACAACTCACTTTTTTTTTTTTTTTTACTGAAATTGTGATAATTTTTTAACATGAACTAACATTTCATATAATACTCAGAAATGTTCTATATATGCTTAGGATGAATATAAATGAATCCCTTTCCTTTCTTAATTTGTACTATGCCAAGGGCCTGATAAACATTTGAAAATCTGCTAAGTATTTCAGCACTTAAAATTGTGTTTGCTCACAAAATAGGCAAGAAAATATTTGTTTAAAAATGACTTAAAAAATAGCAAGCCACAATCTTTCCCTCTCTATTCCCTCAGACATTTGTACTTGCTACCATCTCATATTTCCCTTACTAAAATAAAATTTATCTAGCATAGCCGAAACTGGTTTGGCTTAATGGATAGAGCGTCGGCTTAGAGACTGAAAGGTCCCGGGTTCGATTCCGGTCAAGGGCATGTACCTTGGTTGCAGGCACATCCTCAGTAGGGGATGTGCAGGAGGCAGCTGATTGATGACTCTTTCTCATGGATGTTTCTAAACTCGTATCTCTCTCTTCCTTCCTCTCTGTACAAAATCAATAAAATATATATTTTTTAAAAATTTATCTATCATAGTAATTAGCATTATCAGGGACTTTGATAAACATCATTATATCTTTACAACACCACAGTAAGGTGGTTCTGATTACTCTCATTTTATGCATAAGGAAACTAAGCCCTAAGATCACAACCAGAAAGAAGGAGAGCTGGGATTCAAACCTAAGTGAAGTATACTCCTAAACCTATGCTCTTAATCAGTGCTCTATATGGCCTCTAATATTGCTTAGTGTACACCCTTCTTTGTCATCATGACAAGGTCTGTGGGGTGTCTTCTTTTTGAAGCATGGGAAGAGTTTTCATAGATACTTTAAAAAGGCAAGTCCATTAATCTGTAAGTAGATACATTAGAACATAGTAGATGTGTAAAAGTGTTCATTGAATGAAGGCAGTTGCTACTCCTCTGGAGTTACATGGTAAGAGAAATATAAAACTGCTGATTCTCAAACTACTTATTGCCTTAGTTCAAGAACCCAAATCCAATCTTTATATATATATCTCAAAAAGGATACACACATGACTCTTCAAGTCATTTCTCAAACCTCTACGAACCAATTCATAAGCTTCTTCCTTTTTACCCAAACAGTTCAATGTTAATCCTTTCATAGCCAGAGTTTCTATTAAAAAATAAAAAGTAGGAAAAAGAAATCAAACATTTAAAATAGTTAACAACAAAAAAGATAATCATAATCTCAAAGACAAATGCTACATTACCCTAAGAACTTAAGATTAGGAAATTTTCCAGGTTTGCACAGAATTAAAATATTTTAAAAATCGACAAACCACATTTCTATACTCTAGGCATCCCTAGATATTTTTTTAGATGAAAGGTACAAAATGCATTAATATCTGGAAATTCATATGCTAACAAGATATAACAGTAATAACTATTCTTCAAGGAAATTCTATAGAGTGGCCTTATATAATTATTCCTTTAAAGTATGAAAAACTTTTTCACAAAACAGGCTTTACTTCTTTGAACCCAAATTAGAGATTAAAATCATTGCTCAATGCTTAAAATATACACATAAATTATATACTTACACATTTCTGATATGCATAAATTTCATTCTTTTACAATGATTCTTGAGAATATTATTTAATATAAAAGTAAAAGTTAGCAGACTCCTGTCACTCATAATGAACAAATTAAAAGAAAGAGTTGAGCCCAACCCAGTTTGGCTCAGTGGATACAGAGTCAGCTGCGGACTGAAGTGTCCCAGGTTCCATCCCTGGCCTTGACCCCAGTAGGGGTGTGTGTGGGAGGCAACCAATCGATATGTATCTCTCTTCATTCACTCTCTCTAAAAATCGATGAAAAAATATCCTCGGGTGAGGATTAACGAAAAAATAAAAATAAAATAAATATAAGAGGAAGTTGAGGGCAACATGAATATTTTAGAAAAGGCAAAAAAATTAATTTTATAATATATATTTTATGATGTAAAAAAGAATAAAAATATTCATTATAATGTATATGCCTAACTTTCAGAACTAAAATTTAGAACTTATAGAAAAATTATGTAGGGCCGAGACCGGTTTGGCTCAATGGATAGAGCGTCGGCTTGGGGACTGAAGGGTCCTGGGTTCGATTCCAGTCAAGGGCATGTACCTTGGTTGCGGGCATATCCCCAGTAGGGGGTGTGCAAGAGGCAGCTGATCGATGACTCTCTCTCATCGATGTTTCTAACTCTCTATCTCTCTCCCTTCCTCTCTGTAAAAAATCAATAAAATATATTTAAAAAAAAAAAAAAAGAAAAATTATGTAGGAATAAAAGATAATATGGTTCAAAAGGAAAAACATTTATAGGAAAGTACAGACAAATAAAAGCAAAAAAAAAAGGGGGGGGGGAAATCATGTACTAAATTGTTATAAATCATCCTATATAACAAAAGGTTAACATGCAAATCAACCAAATGATGGAATAACCGGTCACTATGACATGTGTTGACCGCCAGGGGGCAGATGCTCAATGCAGAAGCTGCCCCCTGGTGGTGAGTGAGCTCCCACAGGGGAAGCGCTGCTCAGCCAGAAGCCCCGGTTCACAGCTGGCAAGTACAGTGGTGGTGGCAGGAGCCTCTCCCGCCTCCGTGGCAGCACTAAGGATGTAGGACTACAGGGGAGTAGGCCTAAGCTGTCAGTCAGACATCCCCTGAGGGCTCCCAGGCTGGAAGAAGGTGCAGGCCAGGCTGGGGTACTGAGGTACCCTCCCTCCCCACTCAATGCACAAATTTCATACACCAAGCCTCTAGTGCTATACACTTTTCTAAATGAAAAGAAAGCAAACAAATATATTTGGCAAGGTACTGTAAAAAGTAACCCTTTGTTATCAAACAAGTAAAATGTATTCTTACAAGTTTTACTAAACATCTTAAAGTTCCTTAATTAATGGAGCCCCAGGTTGCCATTACGTTTATGACAAACCATTATTTTATGTATGTTAAAAAATATTTTCAGGGGGCTGGGAAGGGGTGGGGAATGAGGGCAAATATGTGATACCTTAATCAATAAAGAAATTTAAAAATATATATTTTCAATTAAATTACAATCCTTCATATGCAACCTGATTTCAGGTATGTTAAAATATGAGAAACTGAACTTTAGAACAATGAAATTTGATCTCTGCTATATTGAAATTCTATTATTACATTACTAAAAGTTACATGACCAGTATGCATACTTTAGAAAAAATGTAAATTACCTAATATCCATCTGGCCAGCAAAAAATATTTTTAACATTAAAAAACTTTTAGCCTTAGCTGGTTTGGCTCAGTGAACAGAGTGTCAGCCTGCAGACCCAAGGGACCCCAGGCTTGATTCCAGTCAAGGGCATGTGCCTCAGTTGCAGACTCCTCCTGGGCCTCGGCGCTGGTCAGAACGCTTGCAGGAGGCAAGTAATTGATGTGTTTCTCTCACATCAATATTTCCCTCTGTATCTCCCTGTCTCTTCTACTCTCTCTAAAATCAATGGAAAAATATTCTCGGATGAGGATTTAAAAAAAAAAAAAAAAGGAAGAAAACAGTGCTCTTATTTTAATAAAAGTAAAGAAAATAGAAAATTATTACTCTCTCTCTCCAATAGTGAGAAAACTATCAAATTAATTACCAAAGAGCCATGTTTCCTAACTATACAACTCTGACCTGTGAAAGCTTATTTTTCCATTGCCTCATCACAAGTTTAGCTAAACACTCTTCCCTTTCTCTACAAATATCTCACTGTCCAATCTTCTACCCTCACATATGCGAAAACTAAAAGGCAAAAAAAAATTTAGAACATCATAATATACAAATTGTGCATTAAATATGACTGGAAAAACTAATTAAGATATAATGCTACATGAAAACATGAACAAAGTCACTAATTATCTGAGATGTAAATCAAAACAACAATGCGGTACCATCTCACACCTGTCAGAATGGCCAACATCAACAAATCAACAAACGACAAGTGTTGGCGAGGTTGTGGAGAACAGTGTGGAGTTTCCTCAAAAAACTGAAATGGAACTCCCATTTGACCCAGTAATCCCACTTCTAGGAATATATCCCAAGAAACTAGAAACACCAATCAGAAAGGATATATGCACCCCTATGTTCATAGCAGCACAATACACAATAGCTAGAATCTGGAAACAGCCTAGGTGCCCGTCAGCAGATGATTGGATCAAAAAACTATGGTACATCTACACAATGGAATACTATGCTGCCATAAAAAAGAAGGAATTCTCATCATTTGCAGCAACCTGGATAGAACTAGAGAACATCATGCTGAGTGAAATAAGCCAGTCAATGAAAGAGAAATACCACATGGCCTCACTCATTTATGGATATTAAAGAACATTATAAACTGACAAATCAAAAGTCAGATATAAAGACAGTAAAGCAACAAACAGACTGTAAAATTACAGCGGGGAGGGTAGGGAGATCTGGGGGAGATAAGAGATCAACCGAAGGACTTGTATACATGCATATAAGTACAACCAATGGACATAAAACTCTGGGGAGGGAGGGTATGTATGGGGGGGGGCAATGTTAAAATATGTACACAGATAATAATTTAATAAAAAAATATATATAATGCTAAATAAAAAGACGCTGAGAACAAATGGGCACTTTCTGAATTATTATTATAAGGAATAAAGTTCCCCAGCTCAAAATTCTAAAGCAAATTTTTCTTATAACATCTTAAATTAATTTAGTGATTCAATTTAAATAAGCATATTTATTCCACTAGATGTTTCTGCCTCCCCTGCCATGCTTATTCTCAAAATAGGTAAGTCAGAACTCAAATAAAATGTGTGTATCATTTTCTTGACACTAAATTCAAAAAACAAACGTCAAGGATAAGAAAGTCCATTCTCTCTGGAAATTAAGGCATCTGAGAGTGATAGAACCCAAATAAATGAAGCCAGATAAGTTAGCAAAGCCTTATCTATTTATATTAACAAGTAAGCATATGATATTTACACTTACCTCCATGTTCTGCAAATTTGGGATTAGAGAGGATTTGTTTACAGAATTTCAACCCATTTCTATACTGTTTATGCTCATAACATCTCTGTCAAAGAAAAAAAAAATCAACTTTAGCAAGAAATGCAAAATGTCAATTCGACGCTAAATTTTTTATTCTGTAACACACAATAGAATATCAAAGATTATTTCCATATTCTCCTAAGTCCCAGTAAAAAAAATACAGAAGGCTCAAATACAGAAAGTAAAATAAAAGAGCAAAATATAGATTAGAAAAAATAAAATCATTAGGTCACTCCAAAAGTCCAACATTATTATATAAAGTGAAATCTGAAAGAAAAAAAAAAAAGTAAAAGTGCAGAAATTTTACATTTCAAAATAAATTTTCTTTTTAACTAAAGGAAAGAAGTCTCTCAAGCTGCAAAGGGATAAACAAGTGTGTGCAAAGTAATAAAGAAGAAAAAGGATAAAGACCCACACTATAAAACATCATAATGTAATTTCAAATCCCCAAAAGAAAAGGTCCTTAAAAACTTCCAGAGAAAGAGAAGGAAAATAACAAACATAAGAATGATCTGTAATCATAATGGCACCTAACTTTTATTCCATAGTAGTAGTGCAATATTGCTGAAAGCCAGAAAACTATACACAGCCTTCAAAATTCAGTGAAAAATAAGTTTCAATCTAGAATTCTATTCCCAGCCAAATTAGCAATCAACTCTATGAGTAATGTGACATTTTAAGGCTTCTCAGAAAGTTAAAATTTTATTTCTATGTATTCTCCCTTTAAAAAGCTTATTAAAAAGACTCAAAACAAATTCAACAAGACAAAATGGAAGTTAGTAACTAAGGAATCTAATGCAGAAAAAAGAACTAGAGGACAACAACTCCAAAATGAAACAGGAAGCCAAAGGACACCATGGAATAAGTTTCCAGCAAGGGCAAAAATGGAACTAATATACTTCATAATATGGAAAATAATATTTATATGTACATTTCAGCAGTACAGGCACATTTCAGGGAAAAGTAACAGGTCTACAGAAAACCAGACAACTGCCCAGCTGGTGTGACTCAATGGTTGAGCAACCAGGTCATGGTTTGATTCCCCAGTTAGGACACATGCCCAGTTTACAGGCTAGATCCCCAGTGTGGGACATGCAGGAGGCAGGCAATCAATGATTCTCTCTCATCATTGATGTTTCTATATCTCCCTCTCCCTCTCCCCTCCTCTCTAAAGTCAATTAACAAAAGGAAAGAAAACCAGATAACTGCATAAATGAAATAGGAATTAACTCCAGGAGAAAAGCTTATATAAGGAAGAAAGTGTGATCTTATTGTAATTACTAGTAGCCCTATACATGAATCCGTGCGCCAGTAGTTCTCTGTGTGGCCTGGCCACTCCACACCTGCTGCCCAGAGGCTCTCTGTGGCCCAGAGGCCCATCGGTGCCCCAGTCTGGCCAGAGGTCCATCTGCAGCCAGGCGCAGAATGCTTGCCTTGTCATGGCAGCAACAAAGTAAGCATTCCGCCAGGCCGCTCACGCTGCCCGCTCTCAGCAGCCACCCCCCCTGACCCCCCCCCCATTACTGGGAGACTTCAGCGGGGCTGAGAAGACTGGGCACTGCCAACTTGTGGCTATGGGCGTCGCCATATTTGTGTCGGGAGTAATGGTTAATTTGCATATTGTCCTTTTATTAGATAGGACTAGAAGCCCAGGGCACAAAATTCATGCATGGGATGGGGTGGGATGGGTGTGTCCCTCAGCCCAGCCTGCACCCTCTCCAATTTGGAACCCCTCGAAGGATGTCCGACTGCCCATTTAGGCCCGATCCTGGTGGCAGTCAGACATCCCTTTCACAATCCAGGACTGCTGGCTCCCAACCGCTTGCCTGCCTGCCTGCCTGCCTGATTGCCCTTAACTGCTTCTGCCTGCCAGCCTGATCACCCCCTAACCACTCCCCTGCCAGCCTGATCGATGCCTAATTGCTCCCCTGCCGGCCCAGTTCCCCCCAACTGCCCTCCCCTGCTGGCCTGGTCACCCTATTGCCCTCTCTTTGCCAGCCTGGTCACCCCTAACTGCCCTCCCCTGCTGGCCTGGTTGCCCCTAACTGCCCTCCCCTGCCAGCCATCTTGTGTTCACATGGGGGCAGCCATCTTGTATGTTGGAATAATGCTCAATTTACATATTACCTCTTTATTATATAGAATTTGGCTTAACAGTTAACAACACATACATGATCATAAAGATGTAAATATTAAGTACTAATTTACTGAAATATTGTGATATGAGGTAATGAGGAAAAGGAAAGAGGAAAAACATAGTAATGATGTGGTTCTAAGTCCTCATTTTCCATAACCAAAGTCAGCAAATGTCTAAAAGTCATTTATCACCTTGGCTAGTGAGGGCCAGTAGTTATAGCATCAAATAGCACCCAGAGGGGTTGTGGGTTCATATCACAATCAAGGAGGTACCTATCTATGTTGTAGGTTCGATCCCAAATCCTGGGTGTGTAAAGGAGGCAAATGATTGATTTATCTCTCTCATATCAATAGCTCTCCCTCTCACTCTTCGTCCTTCCCTCCCACCCTCCACTGTCTCTAAAAATCAATGGAAAAAAATATCCTCGGGTGAGGATTAGCAACCACCATAAAAAAAAAGTCATGTATCATTAAATAGTGACTTATTGTTAAACAAAAGAAAGCAAATACCAGATAAAATGGCTAGGACTGAGGGTGCTTGGTGGGGGGAATTACTTTTTTTTTTTTTTTAATCATTTGATTTTTAGGTATCAACATGTGATTTCATAATAATTATTTTTTAAATCACTGTATGAAAAAAACACAAAACCTGCATCTAAAAGATATTCACTGTCATAAATTTTACTCACAACTTTGGAAATAATATATTTAAAATCTGGGAGAGATAATTAATGCAAAAGATGACAAGATGATAGAATGTGTAGTAACTTTTTACATGTATAATAGCATCAAGAAACCAGTAGTTTACAGCTCAATACTACAGTCAACTATAGTTGTTCTATACCAAATATGTACTCACCATTTTGTTTGTTTGTTGTTTCACATCTCAAACTTAACATATCCCAAACACAACTGATTTCACCCCAAAATCTATTCTTCACCAAGTCTTTTCCATTTTGCATATACTTTCCCCTCAATTCATCCAACCAAATGATGATTAAAAAAACACACACACAAAAAAAAAACTATCCTTGGTCCTTTCTTTCCATCATACTTCCATCCTCTAGTAAAGGAGTGAGGAAACTATTTTTCTGCCAAGGGCCATTTGGATATTTATAACATAATTCTCAGGCCATACAAAATTAACAACTTGAAAAATAGCCTGCTATACTTGGTCAAACATTTAATTAACTCACCCCTAATTCCTTGGCAGGGCCAGATCAAATGAATCCACAGGCCAGAGGTACCCCACCCCTGATCTAGTAGGTCCATCAGTCCCAGTTTCTCTGCAAATGCTTCCTAACTCTCTGCCCCTCCCATAGTCAACAGCACTCAGCAGGCTGAATGACCTGGGAGATAAGAGGAAGAGGAAGGGGAGAACAAAAGTTATAACTTGGGAGTTGTTAACAAATGTATGTAACCAAGAAAACACAAGACTAAGCAAGTAAACTTAGTGTTCCTATTTACTTAGCAGAAGGCTTAAAAATAACATTTTTCTTATCTAATATATAAAAGCCTAAACAACAGAACAACAGGTCAACCAGTTGCTATGACATGCACTGACCACCAGGAGGCAGATCTCAACGCAGGAGCTGCCCCCTGGTGGTCAGTGTACTCCCACAGTGGGAGCGCCACTTAGCTGACAGGTGCCAGACACAGGGCTCATGGCTGGCGTCACTGTAGAGATGCAAGCCTCTTCCAATCAGGACTGACTGGGCACAAGCCCACAGCAGGTGCAGTGGGGTGGGATGAGTGAGAGCAGCAGGCGGCATTGGACTGCCAGTTTCGGCCTCATCTCTGCAGGCCACGTTGAGGGATCCAATCAGTGCATGAACTCACAAATCAGGCCTCTAATATACACTAATAAAAGAAAAACAGCCGAAACCGGTTTGGCTCAGTGGATAGAGCATTGGCCTGTGGACTGAAAGGTCCCAGGTTCGATTCCAGTCAAGGGCATGTACCTTGGTTGCGGGCACATTCCCAGTGAGGGTGTGCAAGAGGCAGCTGATCAATGATTCTCTCTCATTAATGTTTCCAACTCTCTATCCCTCTCTCTTCATCTCTGTAAAAAATCAATAAAATATATTTTTTTTTAAAAAGAAAGAAAAACATGCAAATTGATCATCCCTCTGTTACGCCCAACATACAATCAGGAGCGAGTATGCAAACTAACCCAACAAAGATGTCAGTTAATTCGCCTATCCAGGCAGGCGCAGATCGAAGACTGAAGACAGTGTAGAAGGAAGCCAAGTGCTGTATAAGGGAGGGAGCGAGGCAGCAGAGATGGGAGTGAGGCAGCAGAAAGGCCACAAAGCCCCATTCTTTTTTAAAAAATATATTTTATTAACTTTTTACAGAGAGGAAGGGAGAGGGATAGAGAGTTAGAAATATCGATCAGCTGCCTTCTACATGCCCCCTACTGGGGATGTGCCTGCAACCAAGGTACATGCCCTTGACTGGAATCAAACCCAGGACCCTTCAATCCACAGGCAGATACTCTATTCACTGATCCAAACCAGCTAGGGCGGAAGCCCTATTCTTGCAGGAATCTTCCTATAACTGGCCTCTAATATAATTATAACAATAACAATAAAAAGCATTAAAGGAAACTATGATATAAAGACCAGGCTAATTAAAAGGGTCACTTAATTTGTCACATTTTCCAGGAAAAACCTACATACAATGAAAGTTTAAGTGCACTATTCTTAAAACCCTCAATTAGCTTTCTAAAAACTTACTTCTGTAAAAATGTATTAAAAGAACTACTACTTTTGGCCATGATGGGGTGAGGCTGAACTTGCCCTTCTCCAACAACAAAACTGAACAACAACAAAACTAACTGGTTTGGCTCAGTGAATAGAGCGTCAGCCTCCAGACTGAAGTGTCCCA